CCAGCAGCCCTTCAAGCAACAGCATTGGGCTCCAGCCTGTTGAAACTGGGTCTCGCGCGGGGGGGAGGGGAAGATCGCAAGCTTTTAGCCATGAATCTGAGCCGAAAGACATGTGACGACGACCGTTCTGACAAGGACCCCTAAATCAGCTCTTTCCGAATCCACGAATCCGGCTTCTGCCATCTGCAGTTTCCGAATCCACGTTTTCCAGACATCAGCTAGCTAGTTTCCGAATCCGCGTTCTCCAGTTACCTAACTTAGCTGGTTGCGCGTTTTCCAGTTGCTAAATCAGCTGGTTTCCAAATCCGCGTTTTTTCCAGTTTTCTGAATCAGCTGGTGCGTTTTTCCAGTTTTCTGAATGCTGGTTTCCGAATCTGCGTTGATTCAGAAAACTGGAGAACGCGGATTTGGAAACTGGAAACCGCTGATTCAGAAAACTGGAAAACGCGGATTTGGAAACCAGCTGATTCAGAATCCGCGTTTTCCAGTTTCCTGAATCAGCTGGTTTCCGAATCCTGGTTTTCCAAATCCGCGTTTTCAGTTTCCAAATCCGCGTTTTGTAGTTTTCTGAATCAGGGTTTTCCAGTTTCCGAATCCGCGCGTTTCCAGTTTCCGAATCCGCTGACCGCTGTTTCGTGCCGTGTTTGCCTGGGCAGGTGTGCGAATGGTGCTGATCAAGCGTAGCCTGGAATGGCCTGCAAGCTTGTGTAAAAAGTGTTGCTAACGTTCTGCGAAGCTGAGGATTGATTATGTCTGTGTTGGATGTCATCCACTTTGCAATTGGCTACCCGTGTTCCAGCATCCATGGTTTGGCCCACTTCTCTTTGGCCACCGAATTCGGCAATGGGACAATGTGCCAATGTGCCCATCGGGGGAAGGTGGTCGCCCTGAGTTGCTCACAGCTTCTCGGTCGGTGTTGGAACTGGTCAAAGTCTCGTAACTTTACCCTGTGTAGCCACCCCCCCGCCCCCCCGCTCAAACTGCTGCTGGCATTGCAGCTACGCCTTCTTGCTGGGCGGTTTCTTGTCGTTTCCGCTCAGCTTTTTTTTTTTTTTGACTGACGCCTCTTTACTACATCAGTAGCACAGTAGGTCGGTCTTGTTGGACTCGACGTAAAGGGTGAAACAAAGTCAGCGCACACAATCCGCCAGACACACCAAGCAACCACCAAGCAAACAAACACCAAAGAAACAAAGCGAGCAATCGCGCTGAACTACTAGATACCCCACGGACTCAGTACTCGAAGTCGTCAATGAAGTTCCGGTTCGCAAGGAAGCACGGAGCTTGTGGGGGAATCGCAAATTGCGACATTGCCAGATTTTCAAAACCACCATCATGTAGCCACTGGTGCGACAGCGGTTATTCAAACCGAGGTCATCAGAAGAGGTTCGGATCACGTACTCGTTGTCAAGGACAGACAACCGACACTCAATGGCGAAAGGATGTTGCAAGTCAGACTCCCTAGGGGGGATGAAAGATGTGCATATGCCCCATGGTGGTCAGCCAGTGGGACTTAACAGCAAGAACAATCAAGGCAAGACCGGCCCAGGGCACTCCATGGTGGTCAGCCAGTGGAGTAGCTCCGAGCTCTGGGTGCTCCATTCACCTTGACGTACAAGTGCCCACCCAGAGAGGTGTCCGCGCCCGGCACAGGGGGCATATGCACCATGGAGGTCAGCCAGTGGGGACTTAACAGCAAGAACAATCAAAGCAGGACCGGCCCAGGGCACTCCATGGTGGTCAGCCAGTGGAGTAGCTCGAGCACAGGGTTCTCCAGTCAACCTGGCGTACAAGTGCCCACCCAGAGAGGTGCCCGCGCACGGCCAGAGGGGGGGCGAGAGCAGCTGCAGCTACCGATTTCACTGGGAGAGTCCACAGCGAGTTACCAAACCCTTAACGCCACAGGGTTGATAATGACAACGAGGAACCTCCCAGTCCAGGCATCTCACACAAGGCCACGCAACCTTGGCGCTGGCATGCGCATCGGCACGCATCAGGTCCCTCCAAACCCAAACCCGCGAGGTACGTCGGTAAGGAGATGGGAGGGCTCACATCACATTGGTGCCGAAGTGCAAGGATCTCCATGGTATTGCTACTTTGGTCCAATCAGAGCCTTCAGGTAACATCCACGCGGGCGGGGAGCCCACTTGCCCTGCCGCAGGCCAAGCTCAGACGAGGGTGACCCGCTAGAGTCTCAAGAGGGCCAGGTTGTTCTACAAGTGGGGAATGGCTCCCTGCCAAGTCAGCGGGTGCATAATCTCCACGTAGAAGCGTCCACAGCCAGCGCGCCGAACTGCTAGGTCACCCTGTGCACTCAGTACTCGAAATCGTCAAAGAGGCCGGGAGCACACATGTAGCACCGAGTGCGCAGGTGCGTCGCAAAATGCGACGTTGCCAGATTCACAAAACCACTATCATGCAGCCACCGATGCGAGTACGTTCAGCACCAGCCAAGGCCGTTCACGAGAAGGTTCACCAGTCCGCCATCACAGGTGGGGCCTAGTCGTGCCTTGGCACGGGACGTTGCAGGTGTCAACCTTCTTGATCCGAAGTATAAAGTTGCCCCATGGTGGTCAGCCAGTGGGGACTTAACGGCAAGAACAAGGGGTAGGACCAGCCCAGAGCACTCCATGGTGGTCAGCCAGTGGAGCCTCTCCGAGCACAAGGCGCAACGTTCTTTTGACTCACAAGAGTCTCGTCCGACGGCCAAAGCAGGCTTGACTGCTTCGTTCCAATCAGAGCCATCAGGTAAACCCAAGCAGGCGGGGACCCCACCTGCCCCGCAGGAAGCGGGAGAGTCCCCCAGTCGAAACTTCGCACTCAAGGCCAAGCAACTATCTCCTTGGCCGGTGAGGGTAGAGGGTTCAATAACCAGAATCAGACCCCCCATGCCCAAACCGACAGACGTCGGCGAGGAGATGTGAGGGCTCACATCACGCTTGGCCACCTACCGAGGGGGGAGGTAGTCATGTATGGCTGCTTTGACGCAAGCAGAGATATACACCCAAGCAGGCAGGGAACCCCGCAGCAACCCAAGCACAGGCGAGAATGGCTCTCGTGAAGGCCAGGTTGTCCACAGGTGCTCGATGGCACATTGCCAGGGAAGTGGAAACCTGATCTCCGCGTAGAAGTGTCCACAGCCCAGAAGCAGCATCCCCTAGCTGGTATCTCCCAATTGGCATGACGCCGTTGTGCGACAAGGGGGTGTCACCGTCCAGACGAGAGATGGTCAACACTCAAGTCCGAGGGGTTCACACACGGTCGTAGCACATAGAAGCAGGCAACCTGCCCACCTAGAGGGGGCAGAGGAAAGGAAGATTGGCCGTTGTACCGATGACAAAGCTGGAACATCCAGGCAGGACCGGTCCAGGGTAGTCCGTGGCAGATGGCCAGTGGAGCAACCACGAAAGAAAGGCCCCCCGTTCCCACAGGCACACCGCGGGGCCGACCCAGAAGGGTGTTCACAGCTGCAAGCTGTAAGCACACAAAAGACAAGCACGATCCAATCCGTGGCATAGACCACGAGAGGGTTGCCAAACCAAGAATATCCGGGGTAGTCTTGCGGCATGTATCGTCGTTTCCGCTCAGCGCTGTGTTTTCCTGGATCTTGCTGCCAGGGTACTTGAATTGGCTTGCCTTGCACAGTGCGCTCCCGCCTCTTTGCCCTGCCGTTATGCCAGCTGTTAGTTTCGCTTCGACAAAATGTCACATGATGTGCTTACTCGCCTTCTGGGATTCGCCCGTGACAATCGGAACCCTGTGCCTTTCTTTGCAAAGCATTCAATGTTTGGCGCTCCGCGCAGCTACACGATTCGGTTCCTTCATCGTCTTCTTCGAGCAGTGAGAGCTGGGCTTGTTTCACCCTTCTGAGTTGTGACCTAGTTGGGACTCCTCGTTGTGTCGCTTTGTTCTTTTTGGGCTGGTGTTGTGCTGGTTGCTCGTGGTTGCTCGTTTGTTTGCATTTCTTGGTTTGGAGTCGTTTCGCCCGTTGACTAAGCTCAACAAGACCGGCCTACTGGGCTGCTGACGCAGTAAAGAGGCGACCATTTCAAAAAAAAGTTCACCTGGAAAGAACGCATCGGCGTCGCCTACGATGCCTCCTGTGACCGAGAACTCGGAGTCAGCATGTTACATCCCCTTCACTCCATCAAGTTGCTGCTAGGAATCCCCCAAAGAAACGCGCCCGTTTTCTGCCCCGCTGGCTCAGAGGCCTCTCGCATCTCCACAACTCGTCACCGAAGGCTCGCCTTTGTTCGGTGTTGGACTCAGCTTGCTCAGCTTGCTCTCGGTTTTTGCAGTTCGAAGGAGGGAGTTCCTTGCCATCTCCCCCCCAATTCTACCAATTGAACGTTGGCCTAGTTAGGGCCTGACCCGACCTCGCATCCATTAAATCTTTGCCTGGGTGCCATAAAAAAGGCGATTCGCTGTACTGTGCACAGTGGCTGCAACTTGGGGGGCAACTTGGGGGGCAAATCTTCAGAGACCTCGGCCGAATTGGGCTCCCCGAGCAAGTCGCAAAGGATCCGACAAGTTCAGAGCGGAAGGAGTCCAGTGCCCTGAGCAGCCTGAGCGTCAAGCTGCGCTTTTTGGGAGAAGCAATAAGAAGAACAAGACCAACAGATGCAGAGTGGAGAAGCGGGCTGGTTACTCACTCGATAGACAAGAAGCTGAGCTGGGAGAGCGACCAAATTGGGCAGGTTTTCCATCGCGACATCAAGTGTCCCAACATCCTCTTGGCCACTTGGACTTAGAAAGTGGGGCGCGGAAAGAGAACGCACTTCAGAGTGCGAAGTGAGCTCCAAAGAGGCCTTAAGTAGAGACCCTATACACGTCTACACATAACAACAATACCTCAATTTGCTTTCTTTCTTAAAGAAGCGCAACACTGCTGGCAACACTGTTAAAGCAGCCCTTGTGTGCCACCTTCGCATATGGAGTGTGGGAAAGGGCGGTCTGGATCGTCGTGCTGGACCCTTTTTTGGGCCCCTTCAACAGCCGAGGACCGCAATGGGACGGCCAAGATCGCGGACTTCGTGCCTTGGCAGGGCAGGTCAGTGAAGTAAATGGATAGGGGGGAATCAAGGAGCTCAATTTCTGTCTCGGCCATGGATCTAAGAATCGTCACGATTGACGCGGGTGCGAGATGGCTTTCATAGGAGTCACAGAGGACCAGAGAGTATGACTGAGGGCTTGGCATGCTGCTCCAACCACAAGGAGCAGAAGGTGAGCCAGGTGCTTTTTGCACTTTTCACTCCCCTCAGCTCCCACTCCAACACTGCATTTGCTGCTTCACCGCAACCCCATTCCGTGTGTGATGCGTGATATGCATGTATAGAACATACGTCGTTTACTTTTTCGTTGATCGAGAACGCTTGGCAGCGAATCAGCGGCTGCTCCCCAAATCGGGGGTCGGGGAGTTGGGCATCAAGGGGGGGAGAGGGGTCCCCAAAAACCCTAAGCTCGATCCGAAGCCCCAGTTCCTACAAGCCCTAAGCCCTGAAACCCTACATCTGGGAGCCTTATATCTGGGTTTGAGGTCCTCAAACCTCGAAACCCTAAAGCACTAGGCCCAGGAGCCTTTGTGCGGGAAAGAAACCAGATCCTGGTCTGCTTGTTCTAGGCGCCTATCGGCCGGAAGCCGAGGCGAATTTTCGTTTTAGTCACAAGTAATCAGGCTTGCTTCTGACATCATAAACATCTTGTGAATTCCACAGCTTTACTTGGCTGACCGGATGACGGTTCGCGATGCTACGCAACTTCAACACGAGCAATTGTAAAAACGGCACTTCCAGCTCTTGCAGATGCCAAACCCCAATTTTGTGGAGGTTGCCGGGACGGTGGGCTACGCGTGTCCCCACTACGTCAACCGGGGCGTGGTGACGGAGGGCAGCGAGGTTTCCCTCTCTGTTTGCAGTTCTTCTTCTTGTCACACCCCAGAATATCCCAGGCCTGGAAGGAATCATCTTGAGTCGAAATGGACCCTTACCATGATTGTTTTTTTGCCTGGCCGGCTCCTGCATGATAATTGTGGAGCTTCAGCCGTTCTGCAGTGTCGGAAGAATTCTTGGGAGGCAAAATTCTCTCCGGAGGTCGCTGCAGACTTCGCGGCGCTCGGGCTCCGCGGCACCGAGTACCAAGAGGCGCACGCCGTCCCCCCCTCCCCCCTTCAACAAAAAAGGACCCCCTGAGACGTCTGCGAGATTGCGAGTCGGGGTCAGGAGTATCGGCCCTTCTTCAGGGAAGTCATCACGATGCACCTCATCACTTCTACGGAGGACTTCTACGGAGGCTCGGCCTCGCCATGAAAGAGGGTTTCGGGACACAGTTTGGACGCACTTTGGATGCAGTGTCAGAGACTGTCGAGGCACCGCCGCCTTGGCCGGCGCCCCAGGCGCCGCAGCCACCGTAGGCGCCACAGCACCTCCGCAAACGACCGGGCTTCTCCCAGATAACGCAGGCGCACGCCCACGCGCAGGGCCAGGCCGCCCAGGCCGGGCCGCCCAGGCCGCCCAGGCCGCCGCTTAGGCCGCCGCTTAGGCCGCCCAGGCCGCCCGTCCAGGCCGCCCAGGCCCAGGCTCAGGCTCATGCCGCAGCCCAGGCTGCGGAGCGCAAGGAATGCCAGCTTACCCAGGCTACCCGACCCTCACAGGAAGCCAAGGCGTTCCAGGCTTAGGCTACCAAGGCTTCAGCACCATCAATCCGGAAGAAGAAAGGAGGGTGCCAGTGCAGCGCCAAGCCTCCGTGCAGGAGGATCGCTTCCAAGGCGCCCATGCTATGCTACGAAGCGAAAATTAACGTACAACGTGCACCGAATATTGTTGATGAGATGGGTGCCTTGGTGCCTCCCACAACTCGGTGGGGACCTCGATGCCACCGAGTCCAAGCCGTAGCCTTAAACTAGACATACAAAGAGGGAGACCACATAGACTTGCATAGTTCGAGCGAAGATTCACAAGAGTACGTCGGTGATGTCGGCGTGTAACCGAAGGAGGTAACATGCAGCGTGCCCTGCTGCTTCAAGCGTCTTTGCACAGTCTTCACACCTCGTCACACCTCGTAACTTACCTCGTTTTACACATCGTTTTCCTCTTCTTCGGCGACTGCCGAGGCGCGCAGATGGCCCTGCGGGCGACCTCGGCGCGGGCGCTGCTCTGGAGCCTCCCGGCTTCGGGCAGAGGGGTCTGCTTTGGGCTGCACGCATATGCTGCAATATGCTGTATGTTGGGTCGGATGGGGTCGGCATTAGCACGCTCACAGGAATGCAGCCGAAGCCGAGGTGTGTGAAGTCGGAGTGTGCGGGTGACCTCTCCTCCAAGCCCAAGGCGCAGAGGGAGAAGATGGGAGAAAGGGGAGAAGATGAAGTTGAGGAGATGAGAATGAGCGAGTGCCATTTCGTGGCGCCGGCAATTGCAGACTGCTTTCCGTTTGCTTTTCGCTCTTCCGCTCGGGGGCCACATCTCAGGATCAAAGAATCCTGGTGCACTGGGCACTGGAGGGAAGTGGCGGGATCGCTGCAGCGTGGCTGCAATGGAGCCGGGGACGCATGCGCTCTGACAGTGAGCGCAGTGATGCTCACTCATATTCCATACAGAATGTTCCCAGAAAGATGTGCGTCCGACGAGCCAGAGGCCCCATGTACCGTTTCGGGCGCCTGTTTCAAAGCGACTTCTGCCGGATGATGCTCCCAGCCCGAGGCCTCAGAGAGAATCCGTGAAAGCGAGAGAGTTCCCCCAGCCCCCCTCGCCCTACGGCAGTTTGTCCAATGTATGTTTTTAAATGCCTGCTCTCGCAGTATAAGGACGAGCACTTCCACTCACAGGTTTCTCGTGAGCACTTCCAGATCTGGGCGGCGAACTCAAGTCTGCAAGAGCCAGTTCTTTCTGGAGTTTTTCCGGGATATCTGCACATGTTTTGCAGCTTTCGAATTAAATGGTGAAATGGTTCAACCGTCGTCCCCTCATAATGATTCGTAAATTCACCATGCCTCGTCTCACATGTCAAAAAGCCGGCCTTAGCCCTCAGAGGCGGAGGAGGGCCCGACGTGGGCTTTCAACTGCAAGGCCATCCCTGCTCCTGCCCCTCGGACGTTTGTTGGATGTTGGACCTGTGGGCAGAAGTTTCACATTACGCAATGTTACGCACCAAGTTGGATGTGTTGGGGGATGTTGGGTCTAAACAGCTGCACTCGGCAGCGACTTGCTGCTCTCGCCGCTCTCGCTCTCTCGCGTTTCTTGCCCAGTCTTCCTCACGAACTACGGCACTGTTGGGACCATCGTGGATGGCCAAGTGCTGGACACCCGCGGGCAGCACGGGCTTCAGCTGCTCTCTTAGCTCTCTTTTGCTCTTCGTCTGTGTTGAAATTCGGCTGCAGGTGGAGTTCCTCGAGTTCAAGTTCCGCCTGGACGGGCCCGGAACTTGACTTGAGAAGCGTAGAGTCGGCCCCTTTCAAGTATTAGAGAGGCTTTTAACAAATTGACTTTTTAATATGGACTTTTTAATTGAGACTTTTAATATAGGCGTCCCTTCTTTTTAGTCTACTCCGGGTTGTTTGGGCTTTCCATGACTCGCCGCTTTTTACATCAGGGTCTCCGTGTTTACGGCTTACGGGTCGTGGATGTCGATTGCCTGCTTGCGCAGCATATGTCGCAGCAGTATAGTACAGATTGGCAGTCAAGATCCATCTTGATGGATGCCGATGTCACAGCCTGAGCTGAAAAATGAATGGGGGTTTTATCGAGTAGGCACAACTCACCTTCTCACTTCCCACTTTGTTTTTATTGTGTCACGTGCTGAGGACATCTACCAGTCCCTACCAGCTGCTCGAAGAACTTCGGGGACCGATCTGCCTGAGAGCCACAGAGTCCTCTCTCAGTTTGTCTTGCAAAAAAAGAGACTTGAGACTTAATTGTGCTCAGAGGAGCTGTTTCGAGGCACCCTCTTCGCCTTTGGCAGGTCCGAGTCTTAAGCTTTGAATCTTGGTCTTCTTATTACAGGGTACTCGACATCTTGTGTCTTTCACTCGACATCCCACATGACTCTTCTCTCGACTTGCCAGGGTTGTCCAGGTAGAAGAGACTTACAACATTTTCTGTGCCGACCCTTAGAGACATGCTGAAACGAAGCGCCGTCCTCTTTTAGAAGCGCATGCCTGGAAAACTCACCATAGGACCCAGGACTGATTCTACCAATGTCGAGCAAAAGGGAAGCTCTGATACTCGCGCCACGGACTCGGGACAGAGAAATGCTGCTCCAAGGAAATATCGTGAGGCGCTCGGCCTCTCAGCAGGATGCACCATGCTCATGAGCACCCTCCGACTTCTTCCACTTTCCTATCGGTTTCGCATGTTTCGCCCTCCGATGACATCTGGGTCCGAGCGGACACCACACGCACAGATTGAGCAGGCGTGTGGTGGGCCATTCGTTACGACTTCTTCTTATGCTTCTTGTTTTTCTCCCTTTTCTCTCCCCCAAAATCCCCCCACCATGATGGAATTCGCCCATGGGCAGTTGGAACGAGATGTGAACCCATCGGGCTGCCGCTCTCAGCCAGTTTAACGCTTCGTGCTTAACGCTTCAGCGAGGCCCAGCGAGTTTCAGGGCTCGTCAAACTCGTCAAAGTTTTCCAATCATTGCCATCTGAGCTTTTCGCCTGAAAAAAAAGCGCGCAGAGTGCGCATGCGTCCTGCAACCACAACGACACTCACAACGACGGGGAAGTGGGCTTAAGGTGATTGGCCGCTTCGCCGCTTCGCCGCTTCCGGGGCTTGGATTTTCCCTTTTGTTTGGACCGCAGCCTGTCGGGAGTTGTCACAATGACAGATCTGCCCGTCATAATACGCCGTTATGTTTTTGGGAAACTTCACGAGTCGGGGGCACGCTCCAGGCGACTTCTTTTGAGCCCATGCGGTTTTTGAGAATGCTTTGCGAATTGTGCATAGCAGCTCTTAGATCATGCGGTCCTGCAATTCAACAGAGTTCAACAGCGTTCGCAAGCAGGGCTGGTGTCTTTTGACTTCTCAAGCTTCGAGACGCGGACATTGACGAATCATGCGGAAGGACATTCGACGCACAGCCTTTGCCCTTCGCGGGCAGCAATTTGTGGAAGAAGTTGCTGTCAGAAAGTGCGGAAGGGCATGAGTCATGTCATGTCCGACATGGCATGATAACATGAGACGTCATTGAATCTATCTGCCCATTAATATGGCTTCGATTTCCTTGATTAAGCCTTAAGCCTTAATTAAACAGTTGAGTTGGAGTGAGGATCTCGGCCCGATCATATCTGCAGAGCCTCCCGAAAATCTCTTGTATTGGCAGCTTTCTGATAGCTGCTTGACTTCTCTGCGATCGGTTCCGCGGCCCGACATCCCTCGAAGCCAGCACTGCGATGCAGAACTCTGCGATGTGAAAGAAACATTAAACAGCAGAAGACCCCAGAAAGTCAGAGAATGTTGGCCTGTTGCGAGCGACAGCAGGAGATGGCATCATGAAATCTATCGAGCTTGAGAGACTCTGAGAGCACCGCTGAGGCAAAGTCGCCCCAGAGATAGCGAGGCTCCGAAAGGGGACGTTCTTGGATGGAGGCAAATGCGAGCCTTGTGGCCTTGAATAGCAGAGTCCGGAAGAGCTGAGTCAAGTTTGCCAAAGCTTGCTTTTGAGTGGAGGTGCGGCGACGCGGTGCAGGGCGGGGTGTCTTTCGCGGGGCCCGACGTGGAGCCGGTCTTCATCCTCGAGGCGCCACTAAAAGAGAACTGAAACAGCGAGGGGGGGGGGGGGGCAAAATTTCAGAGCGAGCACAAGAGCGCAAGTCAAAGCCATGAGCAAACGCCCAGAAGTTCAGAAGTGTCAATGCTCTTTCAGTGCTCTTGCAATGCAACACACGTTCTCTTCCTTGTTCTTTTTTTGTGCGTAAGATTCTTGATTTTTGCACTTGACAGCGCGCCAGTTGGGTGGCACGGCTCTCCGCGTCGGCGCCCGGTGCACCCCATGGAGATCGCTCAGAGAGAAGCGCTCTCTGAATGAGAGGGTCCTCTCGAATTTGCAAGTGTTCTGCGCAGCCTTGTTCAGAAGAGAGCTAGCAGCAAGCTTTTTGAAGTACACGGAAATTCAATCATACACAATAGAGAGAAATCTGGACTATCGATATATACATAGAAGCTGTGAATCTTCTACTTGTTGTTTTTTCCTTGAGGTGCCCCGGGAGAACTTCCGCGTCCTCCATGGCCCCTCGGCCTCGGCCATCGCCTCGGCTCCTGCCTGCGAGGCGCGGCGCGAAACTTCCGGGGGAAGGGGGGGGTGTGCTCAGGGTTTGGGTATAGGGTATAGGGTTCAGGGTGTGGAGAGCTCCCCGGGCCCCGGGAGCCGGACTTCGGGGGAAGTTTTCACGCTCTGCTCTTCGCGAGGTCCCCTGCCCGCCCCTTGCGCTGGGGAGCCGGCTCCAGCCAGGCAAGGATATTGCAAAGCATATGAAAACACAGTTTATGATAATGCAGTAGAAGACAGTACAATCTGGTCTAATGCAGTTGTTGCTCGCTTCTGGGGCGGGCAGAGACCATGTTGCCCCCAGCATGCCCGAATTCTTGTTTCAAGTGAGTCATATAATACTCATTCTGATCTGTTCATGTGATGAGCCGGCCCTGCAGCACCCACGCGGCCGTTGCGTTTGCCTGTGCGCGTCTGCCCGCGCATTAAAACACCTGGTTCTACGAATGGTCGGTGCAGTGGAGGCTTTTGGAGCAGGATCCTGACAGATGATGCGCGTGCCCGGCCGGGTTGATTCAGCTGGTACCAGGGACCATTGCAGTTCGTGTGTGTGTGTGTGTGTGTAGAGATCGTAGATGTCTGTAGTGTAGAGGCCGTCAATATACGGAGCTGCTTCGCCAATTGACGTGGCAGGAGGGACTTCCTGGCGGAGCAGCACCTCGACCTGCAGATCGGGGTCCGGCGAATTCGTTGTATCTCATGGTATATCCTGTTGATGTATACACTCAAAGAGCAAGTAGCTGAAGCTTCTGCGTCACCAGCCATCCACCACCGTGCCGGGCGGCACATCGTCATGTTTGGCACCAGCTCATATCAAGGTTGTGGTGAGTGTGCGTTTGCCCTTTCGGGAAAACAATCTGAGCATCTGCCAGGTGGACGAGAGCCTCAAGGGCCCGGAGCAGCGCCTCTTCTACCTGAGGAGAGTGCGAAGGGGGAGAAGGGGGAGATGGGACTCTGCTTTCGTGAATCAACTTGCAAGCGCGAGTAACCTCAGCGAGCTGTCGATGAAGGTGGAGGGCGCTCCGGAGGCGAAGTGCGAGTCGTGCGAAGTGCGAAGAGTTTTTGTTCTTTTCGACCCGGTTCCGACGCCAAGAATTGAAACTTCAGACTCTCGGAAGCTGCCATGCACAGGGACATGACAGCGTCCGCTTTCCGGTCGAGGTGCGCGTGGTGTCTGTGTGTGCAATTGTGTGCACAAGGTCATTCCTGCTTAGGCAGACATGGGTGTCATGAATTGCTGGTGGCCCCCGTCCCCACCCGCAGGTTCGTGCAATTATAAGGTGTTTTCGGGACGCAGGACGGCCGGTGGCAGCTGCGCCATGGCGACACCGTCCTCTTGAACCACCGCAAGGCCTCTCACTGTACCAGGACGTTCCAGACCGTATCTCTGCCAGACTCTGCCACCCTTGGCCGCATCCGCCCAGGGGAGCTCCATGTGGATGTGTTTCCGCGAGTTCGCGGCCAAGGCGCCAAACTTCCGGGACACTTCTGCAACACTAGACTCCACTTCTTAGTTGGCTGGTTTTGTCGCTTTTGTCAGCTTAAGGCTTACACCATCTTTTGTTATGTTTTGTCCGGTAGCACACATTGATGGTGGAGTGAATACGCAAGCCCTCCTCTTTCACGAGCGAAGGCCGGAATGCGGCAGAACTGACATCTGAAGACTGCGCCCAGATGTGCCCACAATTCCCACAACAGCTCAACTCCCTTTTGCCTTTGTGCAATGCCCTTTGCCAGTCTTTGCCTCTGCCCCGGCAGGCACCGTCCCTGGGTGATGCCTAGGGCCAGCGAGGGCCGACGAGCACATCGACAGGCGGCCGATGCGGCCGACCAGCGCAGTGCAGCGCGGTACTCGAGATCAAAAGAACGAGGCGAAAGACACTTTGCGGGAGTGGGCTTTTGCCTCCTTGACCCTAAATCCCCATAGCCCTCAAGGCTGAAACCATCTGAAACCCATCACCACAGATCAGGCGCCCTACGCCCCCAACCCCAAAGGCTTCCAATCTGAAATCCAGACATGCCTCCAGGGATCCAACACACGCACGTGACGCACATGAGCCAAGAGCAGCTTTACATTGTTGTCAGATACGTGAGAGACAGGATCCTGTGGTAATGGGGGTCACCATGATGTAGAGAACTTGCACTCCCACGCGATGCGCGCCATAACCCTGCGGCCACATTAATATCGAGTTGAGCCCTTGTGCAAGTGTGCTGCGTGAGACATAAATGAGCGTCCTCCGATCCGCAGAATGGACAAGAACAAGTCAGTGTAACTTAGAAACACTCTGAATATATCAAAGCCCATCCGGGAAGTCGCGGCATTTGGTTTTGTGGAGACAGGCTCCGGAGTTATGTTGTCAACGCCGCAAAAGAACAAGTTGCACACATTCCGCGAGTGGATCGTCTTGACATCGGAAGAACTTTCCTGGACCGGGCCGTGCCTCAGAGAGCATGCAGAACATGTACCCAAGGGCACAGTTTGAAAACAATGCTTTCAAGCACACTGTCAGGTTCTAAGTGCCAGTCCATGCCAACTTAGCCTCGACTTAGCCTATGAGATCCAAGTCCACCAGAAGGCCTTTGGCCCGCCACAAGCAGCAAAGGGCAGAAGACGCAGCCGCAGTCGAACGAATGGGACTTGAAGATGTTTAACGGTCCTGCAAGATACTGACTGCAAAGATAAAACCCCAGCACGGCTGCCCACGCCAAATCCCCAACCCCCCCGCTGTTTCAAGTCGTGCTTTAAGTCGTGCAAGCTTGCTTCAAAGCGTAGGCGTATTTTCAAAAAAACATGATGCGAGCATTGTGTTTGCAAATGGGGGGGGGGGGGCTGCGCCCCCCCCAACCCCCCCGCTGTTTTAAGCCGTGCAAGCTTGCTTCAAAGCATAGGCGTCTTTTCGAAAATCATGATGCGAGCATTGTGTTGGCAGATGGGGGTCGTGCAAGCTTGCATTGGATGATCATTACTTCTGTGAGAACCAATGCGCGAGTAGTCAAATGCTGAAAAATGATACGCGACGATCCTGGTAAGCGTCGAAGCCTGAATCGTAGTCTTAGATGTTGACGTGCATAGTGGGCATCTTTCTGCGTACTTCTTGCGCGCCCATCACTTGCGGCTCAAGCGGAGATACAGGTTGATAGCTTTTCCTTGATTCTATGGGTGGTGGTGCGTGGCCGGTATGAGTTGGTGGAGTGATTTGTCTGGGTAATTCCGATAACGAACGAGACCTTAACCTGCTAAATAGTTACATGTAACCTCGGTTGCATGGGCAACTTCTTAGAGGGATCTTGTGTAACGCCAGGAAATTCATGCTCTCAACGAGTTTGCAAGGATGGCCCCCAAAGGTGGCAAGCCCAAAGGGTCCGGGCCTATACATCAACCAACTTTTCGCTTCACCGCTGTGAGAAAACCATAGTGAACGCCAGCTGAGGCCAGCAGCAGCCCGTGCTTCTGCTTCGGAAGGTACTTCCTTTCAATTTTGTAAAGCTGCCCTCAAACCCAAACTCCAAGCCCCCACTTACTAAGCCGTGTCGGTTCGCGTCGCGTCCAGGCAAAGATGACGACGCCTCCCGCAGCTCCTCAAAGGCTGGGCAGGGTCTTAAGCGGCAGATATCTGGGCGCCCTGAACGGCTGTCCTAAGCACCGTCCTTACCGGGGTCTACCGGGGCTTCTCCTGCACCAATCCCATTAATTACTCTTTCTGCATCCAAAGTTATCCTGCCAGCTCGCTGCAGCGTAGCTCCGGGGCTATGGATTCGGGGTAATGGGGCTGCTCCCTTGCTGCAGTCTGGCCAATGGTGAAGTTTATGTAGAAAGGCAGAAAGGGTTAACCTATCTTGGTTCAGCTGTGCTCGATGGTGGTGCATGCTCTGGCTTGAAGGTATCCAGGCTTGAGCCAAGAAGCTCCTCACACATCTCCTACTCAACTAAGCCCAGAACATTGAGACAGGAAGGCGCAGCTGATTCCAAAGGAGGCGTTGCCCTCAATGCAGCAATCATATGTCATATATGACAGAACGCGCGCATCATGTTTTTTCACATGCGAGCGCAGTTGTTGACTGCATTTAGTGAGGCGGTGCTTACATTGTATCGTCGAGACGTGTTAAACTGCTGAGGCCTTCAAACGCTGCACCGAGGCTTGCGCGGAGAGTGGGGGGCTGAGGGGGGCTGAAGGTGTGAGTGTGACTGTAAAGAAGCGTGCGGTCTGATTTAGAGCCGTAGTTGGGAGTCATTGGCAGAAGCGAAAGCCCTATACCCAGGCTGTCCCAAGGGCGCAAGCGGCGGCCCTGGTGTCGGTTTATGGAAGTCGCTTCACTGATGTAAGAAACCACGCAAACCCGATTGTCATGAACGCCAGCTGAGGACAGCAACAACCCGTTCTTTTCCAGCTTCCAAAGGTGACGGCGTCTCCCGCAGCTCCGTAAAGGCTGTGGCGGGGGTTTAAGCAGCAGATATCTGGGCGCCCTGAACGGCAGTCCTACTGTAAGCGCTGGTACCGTCCTTACCGGGATCTACCGGGGCTTTCTCCTGCACATTCCTGCACCATTCCCATTACTCTTTCTGCGTCCAAAGTTATCCTGCCAGCTCGCTGCAGCGTAGCTCCGGGGCTATGGATTCGGGGTGATGGGGCTGCTCCCTTGCTGCAGTCTGGCCAATGGTGAAGTTTATGTAGAAAGGCAGAAAGGGTTAGCCTATCTTGGCTCAGCTGTGCTCGATGATGGATGATGGTGGTGCCGCAGCTTGGCTTGAAAGCTTAAGTATCCAGGCTTGAGCCAAGAAGCTCCTCGCACATCTCCTAGTCAACCAAGCCCAGAACATTGCGACAGGAAGGCGCTGCTGTTTCCAAAGGTGGTGTTGCCCTCAATATCATGTATGACAGAACGCGCGCATCATGTTTTTTCACATGCGAGCGCAGTTGTTGACTGCATTTAGGGTTGAGGCGGTGCTTACATTGTATCGTCGAGACGTGTTAAACTGCTGAGGCCTTCATACGCTGCACCGAGGCTTGCGCGGAGAGTGGGGGGCTGAGGGGGGCTGAAGGTGTGAGTGTGACTGTAAAGAAGCGTGTGGTCTGATTTAGAGCCGTAGTTGGGAGTCATTGGCAGAAGCGAAAGCCCTATACCCAGGCTGTCCCAAGGGCGCAAGCGGTGGCCCTGGTGTCGGTTTATGGAAGTCGCTTCACTGATGTGAGAAACCACGCAAACCCGATTGTCATGAACGCCAGCTGAGGCCAGCAACAACCCGTTCTTTTCAAGCTGCCAAGGGTGACGGCGTCTCCCGCAGCTCTTTAAAGGCTGGGGTGGGGGCTTAAGCGGAAGATATTATCTGGGCGCCCTGAGCGGCAGTCCTAAGTGCTGCAAATCCTGGAACCCTGCCTGAGCCCTACAAGCCCCACCCCATTGAATGTCGGGGAGTATGAAGTCCCCTTACCTAGACCCTTAAATGCAGCACCTTTCTTTGGATGACCTGTTTATGGTTAGGATTCCGTAGTAAGAAACTAAGGTCACCAAAAAACTACTCAGCAGCTGCACACAAAAACATCGACGCAATCGTAGTAGCCAGGCGTTGATCTTCAGGATGCAGGGTTGCGGAATCAAGGGTCATAAGGTTTAGTCGACATCGTCACCATGCGCCCGACCCGGCTAACATCGTAGTAGCCACCATCGCCATACATCGGCATCACCGGCCCAGGAGACTGTCGCCAAAGGTTTGGGGATAAGATGTCTGCAGGCTAAATGGTCAGGGATGCTTCAGGACCGGGATAATGCCTCGAGAAGCTAAGCCGCATGTTGCACTTAGGTTGCCGACGGCGGGCCTGAAATGAACCCTACGTAAAGAGTCGTACTTTGGGCTATCTCACGCTGCCGATGCTGGACATGGACAGTACGTACGATAGTGATAGAATACTGATAGAATCGAACCCAGCGAAATCCTAGTCCTCGTCTGCCAATTCAGACACTCCCTTACCTACAATGAACACCCCTCAGATTTTAAGTAGAGCCGCACGAGTCATGCTCGAGTCGAGAAAGTTCCAGCCTACTCACGCTGAGACGGTGTGTGCACTGGGATCTCAGCTCCACAAGGACACCCACAACGCACTCTCTCACCACTCTCCGTATCCATGGTTGCATGGTACCGGGATCTACCGGGCTTTCTCCTGTTCCAGTACTCTTTCTGCATCCAAAGTTTTCTTGCCAGCTCGCTGCAGCGTAGCTCCGCCACTGTGGATTCAGGGTAATGGGGCTGCTCCCTTGCTGCAGTCTGGCCAATGGCGAAGTTTATGTAGAAAGGCAGAAAGGGTTAGCCTGTCTTGGCTCAGCTGTGCTCGATGGTGGATGACGGTGGTACATGCTCAGCTTGGCTTGAAAGTACCCCGGCTTGAGCCAAGAAGCTCCTCGCACATCTCCTAGTCAACCAAGCCCAGAACATTGCGACAGGAAGGCGCTGCTGTTTCCAAAGGTGGTGTTGCCCTCAATATCATGTATGACATAACGTGCGCATCATGTTTTTTCACATGCGAGCGCAGTTGTTGACTGCATTTAGGGTTGAGGCGGTGCTTACATTGTATCGTCGAGACGTGTTAAGCTGCTGAGGCCTTCATACGCTGCACCGAGGCTTGCGCGGAGAGTGGGGGGCTGAGGGGGGCTGAAGGTGTGAGTGTGACTGTAAAGAAGCGTGTGGTCTGATTTAGAGCCGCAGTTGGGAGTCATTGGTGTGGTCTGATTTAGAGCCGTAGTTGGGAGTCATTGGCAGAAGCGAAAGCCCTATACCCAGGCTGTCCCAAGGGCGCAAGCGGTGGCCCTGGTGTCGGTTTATGGAAGTCGCTTCACTGATGTGAGAAACCATGTAAGCCCGCTTGAGGCCAACAACAACCCGTTCTTCTCAAGCTGCCAAGGGTGACGGAGTCTCCCGCAGCTCTTTAAAGGCTGGGGTGGGGGCTTAAGCGGAAGATATTATCTGGGCGCCCTGAGCGGCAGTCCTAAGTGCAGCAAATCCTGGAACCCTGCCTGAGCCCTACAAGCCCCACCCCATTGAATGTCGGGGAGTATTTACCTAGACCCTCAAATGCAGCACCTTTTTTTGGATGACCTGTTTATGGTTAGGATTCCGTAGTAAGAAACTAAGGTCACCAAAAAACTACTACATTGAAGGGTCTAGGTACATGGCCTTACATACTCTTGGCATCTCCTCGCCTTGTAGCCCCGGGCAGGGGATAGCAGCTGAAAGTACCAGTAGGAATAGTTGTCATATCACAAGATTGTATCAGCAGCTGCGCACAAGAAGATCGATGCAATAGTAGGATCTTGGTCCAGTAGAGCCCGACGGGCAGCTCGAGGCATGGGCATATTATGATTTGAGGCTCGGGCATCTCGTGGCCTGCGCATGTGTGGATAATGGGCAAACTTATTGGCTGCCGTGTGTCGCTCAAGACCGCGCAAGGTCTGTCGGTTGTTTTCCCAACCAATCGAATGCAGGCTGAGACGCCGCGCGATCTGGTGAAGCACAAGGACGTCCTGGTCCTGGCCTCGTTGGATTTTCTTGCTTTCTGGCATTTTGGCTTCCTGGTGTGTCCTCTTTTCACGCAGCAAGGCCACGCCAAGCACCACCAGTGCATGCAGCTCAACAAAGGAGGCCTGGTACATTGCACATGTCACGAAAGCTAGCTCCTTGGAGCTTGCGAGAGTTGTCGTTTACAACCCTTCTCTTTAGTTTTCAGGTGGGCGGCAAGCGACCCCGACCCTTAACTGGTATGAAAATCAAGAAGTTAAAGGGCTGCGAGGGGGGGGGGCGCCCCTTCCCCCCTTCAAGATTGATTCTGCCAATCTTTTGGTCCCCCGCCCCCCATTCAAGGTTGCGTCAATTGATTTCAGGGGAGCGGGGGGGCCCCCCCCCCCAGTAGGCCCCCCCTTCACCCACACCAGAACCAAGTCGAAGCATGAATCTCACAACGGACCTGTCAGCTTTTACCCTAAGTCCGAGGCCCCAAGCTTAAGCCCAGCCCTGCGCAGCAGAACCCATATCTGCTTACGCACCCTGGATGGATGATGGGAATGAGCAGCTCATGCGATTGCGTTTATTGTCGCCTAGCCGTGGCAGTTGAGATTTCTCGAGATTAACTTCAAGAAAGCTCTGCCGTTCGGAAGTAGGGTGTTGCTAGGGCGAACACGTATTACATCAGCACCATCGGCCCTTCGTCAATTCCATACGCTCGATGAAGCAGCTGTCAGGTGGCATTGTTCCAAAGACCGTTGAGAACTTCCGCGCGCTTTGCGAGAATCCACCCGGCGAAGGGTTCAAAGGCCAGGTGGAATGTCCAAGAGTGCAGAGTCTAGGGATTGTGGGCATAAGGTAGTAGCGATGTGATGCTGACATAGGTACTGTGGACAAGCAATGTGAAAGCACTTGGCAGGATGCCCCTTCCACCGCATCATCCCGGGCTTCATGTGCCAGGCAGTGTTGAGGCCCACTCCCGAGTTTGGGGGCGCCCTGAGAAGTCTCGGCAGGGTGGTGACTTCACCAACTTCAATGGCACAGGGGGTCGAAGCATCTATGGCGCAGCGCTTGGATTCATCTATGGCGAGTTTTGCTCTAGAGGGCCGTGGGTTGCCCAGCAGTCGCCACACTCAGCAAAGCCTGTTGCTTCTCATTCATCTCTCGAAAATGCATTGCTTCGCTGTCCGGCGTTTGTCTAGCTTTCGTAGCCCCAATGTCAAGCTGCACCTTTGCAACTCGCTGTCGGGCATCGGACGTAAGGCGATTGCGTCAATTGAGCTTGGCTTTCCTTGGGACAGCGCGCCCTTGCTCATCGACTGATGAGGACGTCTCCGGTGGCATCGCGTGGCAAGAGTCAGAGATTGTCAGGAGCTTATAGAGTTAACAGCGTACGGCTTAACGTTGAGGGTGCAGGGTTCCATGACATCACATCAAACTTAGCGAAACTCTGTCAACAAAACGGCAGTGCGGAGCTCTCAGTGATTGCAGAATGCCTGCTGCAAAACTCGAAGACTAAGAACCTCGTCTTGACCACTGTGCGTCTGATCGTAAGGGTGCAGCTTCACTAAGAGCCCCATGAAAAGGGTGGCATTTTGCTTGCTTGGAACACGCATGTATATCTCTAAATGTTGATACTGCGCAAGGTCCGTGACACCATGCGCTCGGAGGCCTTCGAAGATGCACCGCCCAAGGGCGACAAGGAGGTGCGAAGGCCGCGCCTGGAGGCCTGCCTTTGGAACGCTGCGTGCTCATGCTGCGTGGAACCGCCGGAGATCCCAAACCAGCTTTTAAGTCGGCAGGAGCCGGAGGTCTTTTCCAACCTGCTGGACGAGATGGACCGGCTCGAAGCAGCACCTTGCTGAGCCGGTGATCTCTCATCTTCTGAACTTTGCTAGAGCAAGTTTCACGAACATTGTCAGCCGTATCACTTGAAGGGAGAACCAGCCTTAACGAAGTTTCCGTGTTTGAACCTGCGGCAGGATCATTTGCATTATCCCGCACATGAACCTGGATGAATGCGACTGCTCAGGCCGGAAGAAGGCAGGTAGAACAGCTGCCGCCCATCAGCTGCTTCGAGATGCTGCAGCTCGCTCAGCTCGGCGATGTCGCCAGCAATCACGAGATCATGCACAAGCTTTGCGAGGCTCCTCCTTCTCTTCCCGCCACGCCGCGAGATCCCCTTCGTCCGGGCCTCGGGTGTGCACGCCAGTCTCAGTCTCGGGAGCCCTGGTGCCGTCGCATTTGTGGCTGCAGTAGACTCAAGAAGCTAATTCCCCTGGGGCGTGGCATTTGCGCGGCGCACACGATTTTAGCTCTGGTTTACCCACTGCCCCAGGTGTGCTAGCGAAGGCTGCACCATGGGTCGGGGACCGAGAGCTGTGGATCCTTTGAGACTCCAAATTTGGTTTTGGCGATTCGTCAATGCCATGTTGTGAGTCTGTCGGATGCTGTAGGGTGCTACTGATTGCTGTGCAGCGTAGGTCTCTGGAGGCGAACGCGGAGTAATGCCATAGAAGTCTCCGGGCGGTGCATACGCGAAGGCGCCGTGTCACTGTGCTGTCCGTTACGTCGTAGTTCCAAGGCCACTTCCTTGCAGCTCAAGCTGGAAGGATCTGGAAGGCCTAGCCCTGCAGCTGATGCCTTTTCGACTTGCCTTGCCCCACCTCCTCTCCCTGTTTTGCAGACGTTTGAGGATCCACCGGGGGCTCCCATGCGACTGTGGCCTGCCACTTGATCAAAATTGTACAGAATTGAGCACAGCTTCCTGTCATCATTTCTTTTTCCGCGCGTGATGCAGCGCGAGTCGGTCGACAGCCGAGGTCGCTGGCTACAGTTGAACCCTGGCTGGCAGGATTGGCTGTCGGACCGCCCCTGACTTCGGCCTCTACGACACGATGCAAGGCACCTTCATTGGCAAACGTGCAGACCCAACATTTCTGGAGTGCCTCGCTTGTGTGTCCGGAAGATATTCAGCTCGGTTGAATGACGCCGCAGGGATTACCAGTGGGCGCGAGTTCTGTGCACCTGAAAGTAGCCAAGCGTCGGGTCCAGCTTTGCAGTGCGAGCTATGTCAGCTTGGAAAGTCACAGAATAACTCTGGCAGTCAAGATTGAAATCGTTGCAAGATCGGCGAGTACCAGGATGAGCCAGGCTCCAGCAGCTGCAAGCCTTGCTGGCCTTGCTCAGCTGGCACGACCCTGGTCTTGGGGTCCTTTTCAATTTAGGACTGCGGTTGCCCGACGGGTCATCTCGCTACAACCCGTCGGCATCATCGGGACTGACGATTCGAGTTCCTGAGAGTTGAAAGCCATCAATGCATTCCTTCGGGTGTTTCTGCTGGACTTCGATAACTTTGCTTTCAGCTGCGTCGCAGGCGGTTCTGCCCGTGCTCGCTACATTGTGTCGGTCCTTGTCTTCCCGGGTGCTGTATGCTGGCTCGTGTGCTGCCTCCATGCATCCAAGCTCCTCCCCAGGCAGCAAGACGAAGAGCACGATTGGAGCCTTGCTTCAGCTTGCGTTCAGCACGATGAGTACCATCTCCGCACCAATGATGTGCTTCAGGCATTGGATGAACATTACTTCAGTGAGAACCAATGCGCGAGTAGTCAAATGCTGAAAAATGATACGCGACGATCCTGGTAAGCGTCGAAGCCTGAATCGTAGTCTTAGATGTTGACGTGCATAGTGGGCATCTTTCTGCGTACTTCTTGCGCGCCCATCACTTGCGGCTCAAGCGGAGATACAGATTGATAGCTTTTCCTTGATTCTATGGGTGGTGGTGCGTGGCCGGTATGAGTTGGTGGAGTGATTTGTCTGGGTAATTCCGATAACGAACGAGACCTTAACCTGCTAAATAGTTACATGTAACCTCGGTTGCATGGGCAACTTCTTAGAGGGACCTTGTGTAACGCCAGGAAATTCATGCTCTCAACGAGTTTGCAAGGATGGCCCCCAAAGGTGGCAAGCCCAAAGGGTCCGGGCCTATACATCAACCAACTTTTCGCTTCACCGCTGTGCGAAAACCATCGTGAACGCCAGCTGAGGCCAGCAGCAGCCCGTGCTTCTGCTTCGGAAGGTACTTCCTTTCAATTTTGTAAAACTGCCCTCAAACCCAAACTCCAAGCCCCCACTTACTAAGCCGTGTCGGTTCGCGTCGCGTCCAGGCAAAGATGACGACGCCTCCCGCAGCTCCTCAAAGGCTGGGCAGGGTCTTAAGCGGCAGATATCTGGGCGCCCTGAACGGCTGTCCTAAGCACCGTCCTTACCGGGGTCTACCGGGGCTTCTCCTGCACCAATCCCATTAATTACTCGTTCTGCATCCAAAGTTATCCTGCCAGCTCGCTGCAGCGTAGCTCCGGGGCTATGGATTCGGGGTAATGGGGCTGCTCCCTTGCTGCAGTCTGGCCAATGGTGAAGTTTATGTAGAAAGGCAGAAAGGGTTAACCTATCTTGGTTCAGCTGTGCCCGATGGTGGTGCATGCTCTGGCTTGAAGGTATCCAGGCTTGAGCCAAGAAGCTCCTCACACATCTCCTACTCAACCAAGCCCAGAACATTGAGACAGGAAGGCGCAGCTGATTCCAAAGGAGGCGTTGCCCTCAATGCAACAATCATATGTCATATATGACAGAACGCCCGCATCATGTTTTTTCACATGCGAGCGCAGTTGTTGACTGCATTTAGGGTTGAGGCGGTGCTTACATTGTATCGTCGAGACGTGTTAAACTGCTGAGGCCTTCAGACGCTGCACCGAGGCTTGCGCGGAGAGTGGGGGGCTGAGGGGGGCTGAAGGTGTGAGTGTGACTGTAAAGAAGCGTGTGGTCTGATTTGGAGCCGTAGTTGGGAGTCATTGGCAGAAGCGAAAGCCCTATACCCAGGCCGTCCCAAGGGCGCAAGCGGCGGCCCTGGTGTCGGTTTATGGAAGTCGCTTCACTGATGTGAGAAACCACGCAAACCCGATTGTCATGAACGCCAGCTGAGGACAGCAACAACCCGTTCTTCTCCAGCTTCCAAAGGTGACGGCGTCTCCCGCAGCTCCGTAAAGGCTGTGGCGGGGGTTTAAGCAGCAGATATCTGGGCGCCCTGAACGGCAGTCCTACTGTAAGCGCTGGTACGGTCCTTACCGGGATCTACCGGGGCTTTCTCCTGCACATTCCTGCACCATTCCCATTACTCTTTCTGCGTCCAAAGTTATCCTGCCAGCTCGCTGCAGCGTAGCTCCGGGGCTATGGATTCGGGGTAATGGGGCTGCTCCCTTGCTGCAGTCTGGCCAATGGTGAAGTTTATGTAGAAAGGCAGAAAGGGTTAGCCTATCTTGGCTCAGCTGTGCTCGATGATGGATGATGGTGGTGCATGCTCAGCTTGGCTTGAAAGCTTAATTAAGTATCCAGGCTTGAGCCAAGAAGCTCCTCGCACATCTCCTAGTCAACCAAGCCCAGAACATTGCGACAGGAAGGCGCTGCTGTTTCCAAGGGTGGTGTTGCCCTCAATATCATGTATGACAGAACGCGCGCATCATGTTTTTTCACATGCGAGCGCAGTTGTTGACTGCATTTAGGGTTGAGGCGGTGCTTACATTGTATCGTCGAGACGTGTTAAACTGCTGAGGCCTTCAGACGCTGCACCGAGGCTTGCGCGGAGAGTGGGGGGCTGAGGGGGGCTGAAGGTGTGAGTGTGACTGTAAAGAAGCGTGTGGTCTGATTTAGAGCCGTAGTTGGGAGTCATTGGCAGAAGCGAAAGCCCTATACCCAGGCTATCCCAAGGGCGCAAGCGGTGGCCCTGGTGTCGGTTTATGGAAGTCGCTTCACTGATGTGAGAAACCACGCAAACCCGATTGTCATGAACGCCAGCTGAGGCCAGCAACAACCCGTTCTTCTCAAGCTGCCAAGGGTGACGGCGTCTCCCGCAGCTCTTGAAAGGCTGGGGTGGGGGCTTAAGCGGAAGATATTATCTGGGCGCCCTGAGCGGCAGTCCTAAGTGCTGCAAATCCTGGAACCCTGCCTGAGCCCTACAAGCCCCACCCCATTGAATGTCGGGGAGCATGAAGTCCCCTTACCTAGACCCTTAAATGCAGCACCTTTCTTTGGATGACCTGTTTATGGTTAGGATTCCGTAGTAAGAAACTAAGGTCACCAAAAAACTACTCAGCAGCTGCACACAAAAGCATCGACGCAATAGTAGTAGCCAGGCGTTGATCTTCAGGATGCAGGGTTGCGGAATCAAGGGTCAGAAGGTTTAGTCGACATCGTCACCATGCGCCCGACCCGGCTAACATCGTAGTAGCCACCATCGCCATACATCGGCATCACCGGCCCAGGAGACTGTCGCCAAAGGTTTGGGGATATAAATGGTCAGGGATGCTTCAGAACCGAGATAATACCTCGAGAAGCTAAGCCGCATGTTGCACTTAGGTTGCCGACGGCGGGCCTGAAATGAACCCTACGTAAAGAGTCGTACTTTGGGCTATCTCACGCTGCCGATGCTGGACATGGACATTACGTACGATAGTGATAGAATTCTGATAGAATCGAACCCACCGAAATCCTAGTCCTAGTCTGCCAGTTCAGACACTCCCTTACCTACAATGAACACCCCTCAGATTTTAAGTAGAGCCGCATGAGTCATGCTCGAGTCGAGAAAGTTCCAGCCTACTCACGCTGAGACGGTGTGTGCACTGGGATCTCAGCTCCACAAGGACACCCACAACGCACTCTCTCACCACTCTCCGTATCCATGGTTGCATGGTACCGGGATCTACCGGGCTTTCTCCTGTTCCAGTACTCTTTCTGCGTCCAAAGTTTTCTTGCCAGCTCGCTGCAGCGTAGCTCCGCCACTGTGGATTCAGGGTAATGGGGCTGCTCCCTTGCTGCAGTCTGGCCAATGGCGAAGTTTATGTAGAAAGGCAGAAAGGGTTAGCCTGTCTTGGCTCAGCTGTGCTCGATGGTGGATGACGGTGGTACATGCTCAGCTTGGCTTGAAAGTACCCCGGCTTGAGCCAAGAAGCTCCTCGCACATCTCCTGGTCAACCAAGCCCAGAACATTGCGACAGGAAGGCGCTGCTGTTTCCAAAGGTGGTGTTGCCCTCAATATCATGTATGACATAACGCGTGCATCATGTTCTTCATATGTGAGCGCAGTTGTTGACTGCATTTAGGGTTGAGCCGGTGCTTCCATCGTATCGTCGAAAAGCGTTAAAACTGTTGAGGCCTTCAGACGCCGCACCGAGGCTGTCGCGGAGAGTGCGGGGCTTAGGGGGGCCGAGGCTGGGGCTTGGGGTTTGACTGTAAGGAGCGTGTGGTTTGATTTAAAGCCGTAGTTGGGGGTCATTGGCAGAAGGGAAAGCCCTATACCCAGGCTGCATATGGAAGAAGGGCAGCTTAGCAACAAACCCTACACTTGGGGCCGCTTCCGTGACTAGCTCCAAATCTCAACACATTCCAAAACATGGATGGTGTTTCGGAGCCCCAAAGAACAGGGGGCTAAATGAAGTGCGCTTCCATTGTGCGCTCATAGATTCCCCTGAAAAGTAACATCACAGTAACCGTGCTTCTTCCGAGTGTGGCCAAGGCCCGAGGTCAGTTGCAGGCCGTGATCCTGGGATAGCACTCTAGTGAGGGAACACTTGCCAGCTCCTCAACACTTCCTCAACCCAGAAGGCAAACAAAACAATGTTGAGCCAAACCCTGAATCCATCAACAGCACCCGCGCATGAGCGCCCCAAACTGGCCCTAAAATAACGTGAAAGCCCCAATCTTCAGCCCTCGTCCAGGCTCGATAGCAAAGGCAGCATGACAACGCGCACCGACCGGCTCGGGGACTGCGCTGGCCCCATCCGAGCATGCTGTTGGGGGATTAGGAGGGCATATTTTTTTGGTACTTGTTTTTCTTTTGGTCCCCTGGTCCCTGGGTCCCCTGGTCCCCTGGTCTGCCGGTCCCCCTGGCCCCCCAAATTTTCACCAAAAACCGAAAACACCTTCAACAACATAGGCAAAAACCCATACAAAAACAAACAAAAATGAACACAACAGCAAAACACATAAAAACGGAAATAAGAAAAGTAGGTCACTGAACTTTCGGGTTTAGGATGGCTACAAACATAGCATTTTTAAGAATGTTCATAATGTTATGGTTGTACTGTACATACTCCAGAAATTCTTCGCTTGTGGTGTTATAATAATCCTTCCAACCGACCAGCCAAAATTCAAAACATTGCGTCGGCGCGCGTCCTATGGAATTCCCCCCTAGCTTGACGGATTCGGATCCGCCACGGAACGCCGCGTCGGCGCGCGTCCTATGGAATTCCCCCTTAGCTTGACGGATGCGGAACGCCACGGAACGCCAAGTCGGCGCACGTCCTATGGAATTCCCCCTTAGCTTGACGGATTCGGGACCGCCACGGAACGCCACGTCGGCGCGCGTCCTATGGAATTCCCCCTTAGCTTGATGGATGCGGAACGCCACGGAATGCCAAGTCGGCGCACGTCCTATGGAATTCCCCCTAGCTTGACGGATTCGGGACCGCCACGGAACGCCACGTCGGCGCGCGTCCTATGGAATTCCCCCTTAGCTTGACGGATGCGGAACGCCACGGAACGCCAAGTCGGCGCACGTCCTATGGAATTCCCCCTTAGCTTGACGGATTCGGGACCGCCACGGAACGCCACGTCGGCGCGCGTCCTATGGAATTCCCCCTTAGCTTGATGGATGCGGAACGCCACGGAATGCCAAGTCGGCGCACGTCCTATGGAATTCCCCCTAGCTTGACGGATTCGGGACCGCCACGGAACGCCACGTCGGCGCGCGTCCTATGGAATTCCCCCTTAGCTTGACGGATGCGGAACGCCACGGAACGCCAAGTCGGCGCACGTCCTATGGAATTCCCCCTTAGCTTGACGGATTCGGGACCGCCACGGAACGCCGCGTCGGCGCGCGTCCTATGGAATTTTCCTTAGCTTGACGGATGCGGAACGCCACGGAACACCAAGTCGGCGCACGTCCTATGGAATTCTCCTTAGCTTGAGGGATTCGGGACCGCCACGGAACGCCACGTCGGCGCGCGTCGAACGCCACGGAACGCCAAGTCGGCGCACGTCCTATGGAATTCCCCTTAGCTTGACGGATTCGGGACCGCCACGGAACGCCACGTCGGCGCGCGTCCTATGGAATTCCCCCTTAGCTTGACGGATTCGGGACCGCCGCGGAACACCAAATCGGCACACGTCCTATGGAGTTCCCCCTTACTTGACGGAGTCGGAACGCCACGGAACGCCACGTCGGCGCGCGTCCTGTGGACTTCCCCCTTAACAGCACGCGTTACGCCACTTGCGAACGCTTGCGGACGCTTGCGGACGCTTTGCGGACGCTTGCGGACGCTTTGCGAACGCTTTGCGGACACAACGCAACAACGTTTGGTAACCTCCCAACCCAACTTTAAAACGGGAACTCTTCTGCGGAGCATTCGGGAAAAGTACCAAAGAAAGGTACCAAAAAAACTCTCCGCCCGTTTAGAATGGGGTCTCTGGGTTCAGGGACTCTAGGCGCAAGCGGGAGGGCTTCAGTTTTGGGATCGTTGAGAAGCTTTCTTGGGATTTGGCGTGTTAGGCTGGGATGACCGCTTCTTGCATCAAACGATCTCAGGTCTTCAGCGTATGTTTTTATCCAAATGACATGTTTGGAGTCCAAAGGGTTTTTAGGGTCCAGTCTAGGGTTCAGGGTTTGGAGGTTTTCAGGAATGACTTTAACCCTGAGAGCGTAGAGAGAGAGCTCCACTCAGACAGCGCAGCAAGGCTCAGACAGAGGCTTTCCAGCCACACACACACACACCTACTCACTCACTCATTCACACAGACAGACACGGGTATGTAATACAAGGGGGAGGTGATTACGCGCCCATCATACTTGTAAGTCGTCATTGACTGATGGCATGGAAACTCGTAGTTCGTAGGGTCCTCACATGGCCTCTTTGAGTTGTGATACTCGCAAATTTCGCAAACCCAAAAGCTACACAGAGGTGGCAAAAAGGGTGGAGACTTTGCTCCGCCTGAAGGCCTCGGCCTCAGCGCTTCAGAGTTTAGGGTTTGTTCACAGTGACGGAAAAAGGTGTATATGGTACTCAAGTCGGAGGGTGTCTAGGCTTTGGGGACGATCGTGAAACCTTCCAAACCGCCCAGGCAACGTGGTGAAGAGATCCTACCCTAGCCAACTGAGCTGAATCCTATATAGGCACGGGTCTTCAAAACCCATAGACCCGAGACCGTCGATGCTGCAAGCCTTGGATCCCGAACGCGAAGCCTGACAGGCTTCCAGCTGTCAGCGAGTCTCCAATTTGCAAGGCGCCGTGCTCGGCACCTTGTGGTTGTGGGTTCTGCTTCCGAGTTCACGGCCGACAGCCACGTTCCGTTTCTGTCTGACCGGCATAGTGGTAGGTTAGAAGTGGGGCGATGCGACCATTAGATACCTATGTGGCAAGGATCTTTATGTATTATTTGACGGGTCTCTTTGTTTTTACTATGTTAACACCTAAACACTCAACCCTAGACCCTAGACACCAAATCATTACTAAAGGTTTCGAAACCTTTGGGTTTAGGGTAGGGTTGTGCGTTTGGGATTTAAAGTTTAGGGCCTAGGGTACGAAACCACTACTGTAAAAAGGCTGACGGCTCAGCGTTTGGGGCTTTGGGTTTAAGGTTGACGGTTGAAGGCTTAGAGGTGAGGGATTAGGGTTAGGAGGTCTATAGGGCTTGGTGGGTTGAACCTTTACGCTTCATTTGACGGACGTCTGCCATGCATTAAACCACCGAACCATACCCGACAACTTAAACAACACGACCCTTGTGGCACGGACCTTTACATATCCTTTGCTGTGCTCTTTTCTTTTTTCGAAACGTTACTCAATTTTCAGGCTGCCTAAGATAAATTATTCAAGAGGGTAAAGCGAGGAAGGTGAACTCTTCGTTCTCTCGTCTACTTCCATGTATCTTCACCATTCATTCATTCATTCATTCATTCATTCATTGTTTTGTTGTTTTTCTCTCGTTCAACTCTCTCTCTCTCAGCTTTTGTTCTGGAATTTCATTTTTTCGTTCGTCCCATTCCTTCTGTCCCTCTCCCCTCTCCATCGCTCTGACAAGAAAATACAAACGACAAGAGAGAGCGGAAGAGAGGCGAGAGAAGAAGGACATTAAGGAGATGAAAAAGAAAAGAATCGCCCTAGTCTCGTCTCTTACCCTCGTCATCTCATTATGTCTTCTTTTCATTTTTTCCGGCACCACCCCAAGAATGGAGCAGGCCCTTGCTGTTTGTTCCCTTCTTCTCATGTCATCTCTGTTCTCTTCGTCCGTAGGCTCTCTCGCTGTGTGTCTTCTTCCAGGCTCTCTCCTCTTTTCTCGTCGCGTTCACTTGCAGGAAATGGAAAGAGAAGAGGAAGAAGAGAAACAAAACCATGACTGATGTCATCTCTCTTCTCTTCGTGGGCATCTTCTCTCGCTGTATGTCTTCTTCTTCCAGGCTCTCTCCTCTTTTCTCGTCGCCTTCCCTTTCTACAAAAGCAAAGAGAAACGAATCCTCCGTTTCATTTTCTTCCTCGTCACTCTTCTGCTTCCTCTCTTGAATGAGCAAAGAAAACGCATTGAGAGGGTAGACCGAGGCGGCGATAGAGAGCAGATCCACAGAGAGAAGAATGAAGAACACGACTGAAAGAGTCAATAATTTCAATCAGGAAGGAGCGGCCGAAGATAAAGGCAAAACACGATGACATACTGGAAGAAACAAGAACTGAGAGAGAGAGAGAGAGAAAGCGACAGAGATCCGAAAAGACGAGAAGGAGAGAACGCGAGAGGACAGGGAGACAAAAAGGGAGAGGGAGGCAGATGGAAGAAAAAAATTGCAATCGGTGGCACAAAACATACATCTCCTTCCTCCTACCTTCTCCTTGTCTCCTCCTCCGTTCCTTTCTCTTATCTTTTCTTTTTCCGAGGTCTCTTTAGAAGGGTGGGGAAAGAGTGGACATGGGTGGACAAGAAGAGAGATCACAGAAATAGAGCAAATAGAGGCGGCGAGAGCGAGAGAGATAGATAGAAAAGGAAGAGACCCTTTCCCCCTCCCTCTTCTCGTCACATTCCAGCCCTCGAAATTCTCATTACTACTACATATGAGCAGGAGACAGAAAGTGGAATTGGAGAGGAAGGAAGGCAGTAGTGCAGAAGACTGGGAGAACTAAACTCCTTCTCCGGCGTGGCTGCCTTCACACTTTGCTGTTTTCGTCCTTGTCCTTGTTCTGTTTTCCTCCTGAGTGGTAAACGACAATGAGTACAAGGACGGAGAAGGACAGGCTTCCTTTGTTGCTCTCTAATAGACTGCGTGTCCGACAGTGACCTCTAGTGAAAGAGCTGAAAGGCATCCAATCATGACAGTTGGAAACAAGATCAAACAAGCAGCTTTTCATAGGAATCTCCGGCCGGAAATTGGGAGCTGCCTTAGTCAGCTACATTGCAGCTACATTTGCCCAGCATGGTCATCAAGCTTTAGTGAGGAATCCGGGGTTGCAGGATAAGCAATCGAATCTCCGAAACATGGATCAGCCGCAAGCAGGGCTCATGTTCAAGCTGACTCAAGCTTGTACTGTTATAGGCAAGATGGCAGAATGAGAACGTGTCAGCATGTGTCAGCGTCGCGGCTTCGGCGCAGGAATATGGCCGCGTCAAAGATCCAGGCTTGGATCCGACGCACCCCCTTCCTGCGAGTGCAGGTGGGAGGTCAGTCCATGTCAGTCCACTCGTGTGCAGCTTTTACCCAGGTGCCAGTAATCTGCACGGGGTGCAGCCCCTTGTGTCGGGTCTTTTGGACAGGTCTACACTCTCACGGTCACCGGCACGGATGATGCCGTTGTCAGGCCGATCTGGATACGGGTTCGTTCACAAACGTCGTGCGCAGCAATGCAGTCACTGGATGAAGCAACCTTGCAGGTACATCAGAGGAAACTACACATACCGCGACCGCGACTATGTGTGGGCGAATGAGTGGCCTGGCGGCGGCATCAAAAGTGGTTTCGGTCAGGAGACAGGGAAAGTATCATCCGAGCCAGGTACCGATCCGCCTTCATGTACCGCGACAAGACTGGTGCGATGCCTAGGAAAGCAAGAGACGTCTGCATCCAGTGATTTTGTACATAAGACCTCGCACCTGTCGGCACTTGGTCTGTTTATGCACGCTGGGAAATTAACCGAAGACAGGTTGCCAGTTGCTAGTTGCTCTGCAGGTTGGTGGCCCCACCCACCCGCGTAAACTTCGGAAACATAACGTCTGGGGCTACAAGCTTCTTTCGAGCCGAGAGGGGATGTTTTGGGAATCATGCATGGTTTTGGCGTGATTCGGGGCTGGAAACCACTGCTCTCTGGGCGTGCGTTTTGTTCTTCTTTGGCTGGAATGTTCCCTCCTTGCGACCTTTTTTCGTACATGTTGCTATCGACTTTCCGCCTCCGTGTACTTTGAAGGATTAAGCCTACGCTGCAGCGCGTTGTTTTCCCAAGCCTTCGCTGCAAAACGCAACATTGCGTGGACCATGCTCGGGGCCCCAGCAAGTGCTGCAAACACAAGGCTCACAAGGCTTCAGAGCCTGCAAAGCACCCAATGTAACAAGAACCGAGAGTTGGCGATCTTCGCCACCTATTTCGTGCTGGCGCTCCAACACAACAACGCAATCCCCGAGCATGGAATAGACCATAATAGACCTATTCAGAGGATGGTGGAGGATCAGTCCATCAGCGCATGATGATTCGGCACCTTGGCTCGTCAAGCAGCGCTCAATTGACTGATGTTCTGTTAGGTGACAGTCCGTGCGATGCCTACCTGAGGCGTACGCCATGGGGCCACCCGGGCGACTACCACCACTTCGGTGGTTCTGCCCGATCAAAGCTGCGGAGGCCAAGTGCACTGGAGCGCTTGGTCCAAGGATAACGTTCCGATGTCTCAGGTACACGACAACATCCAGCTCACGCCGAAAGTGGAGCAGGAGGATGAGTATGAGTCGTGTGGATCTAAGCTTCGAAGCTCTTTGGTTGACCCATCTCCCAAGCCCTCAGCCCGGCAAAACTACTCATGCATCAGCAGAGTAAGGAGCTCCTCCGTGCCGGCCCCATGCTTTTGACGCTTCGGAGTAGCAGTGGATGCTCAAAGATTCAAAGACTTGGCGTGCGTTTCCAGTTCAGGCTGCGAGCAGCGAATCCGTCCCACCAACCAGCCCTCTTGTGGGAACCCCAGTTGCGGCACTTTGGTCATTGCCTTCCAAGTCGATTGCGACCACAGCCGATGACCCTGTTTACGCGTTCGTCAGGCTCCAATCCCTGACCCAATCCGTGACCGGGTGCTTTTCGCAAAACAGCAGGCGCGGACAGGAGATGTTGTGATCACTCGAAACCCCGCGCACAAAGTAACGGCCCGTGGACAGCATAGCAGGAAACAAAACGCAACTTTCAAATTTCACGCCCCGAACTATGCCAGGTCATGTCCCCGAATGTAATCCGCAATCAGTACTGCCAAGTGGGCCAAAGCCGCAGCCCTGCCGCCTCAACTCTGCAGAAAATCCCGCGGGGGAGTTTGTGCGGGCATATGCGGACTTGTGCGGAAGTGTTTCTGCCGCTGCTGCCACTGACGATGCCTTCGACAGCATGGTGTTTGAGCCATTCCAAGGTACTCGTAAGATCACTCGTGGTTCCGATGTGAAAACCTGAGAGAAGACAAGGCAGTTACGCGCGCTGCGTTGGTTAATATGTGAATCCCGATGTCGAGACCCCAGCGCGAAACCAGCATGCAAAGACTTCAGCAGAGCAGATGGGAGTACATGCATTTCAGTTTGATCCCTGTTTGATGTCATGCTGTGGAACTCTCTCACTCGTCCGATGTAGCAGCGTTCTCTGGCAGCTCCTGCTGAATCTCAACGCTTGTGCAGGAGGTGCGAGCGGTGCTGTTCAACCCGTTCCGCCAGGAGGAGGGTGAGCCTGCAGGCCGGCGCAAAGCAGTTGGGTGAGTGTTTCCTGTTGCGCCAGGTGTGGCCTGTGTTTGTGGGCAACATCGCGCGCGTGCGAGCCTCTGGTGAGAAGGAGCGCAAGCTCGCCTTTGCAAAGTCTCTCAGGACACGACTTTCGAAGATATTCGCGAACTCTTCGGTGCACGCCTCTGCTCCTGGAACGTGCGCTTGAAGTCGTGATTGCAAAGATGTTGTTTTTCGCTGCAGGTGACATCGGGGGCTTCGTGTCGTGGAGGCTTTCCATGCAAACAGATCGCCTGGACCTCAACATGTGTCGGAGCTTCAGCCTGGCAGCCAATGCATCCAACTGTTGCAAGCCCATCTGCAACCGAGGGGCCGAGGGCTGCGCAGGCATCCAGCTTGCCTTGAAAGCTGCAGTTTGGAATGCTGCGGTACAGCTTCTGTAGGTAATGTCGCGATGGTAGCTCACGAGAACAGCAACGGCGGTAAACATCAGCGTATCTCAGGGCACAAATCATGTATGCTTGGAAATAAGCGCCCATAGCAAGCCGGATCAGTGGCCGTGAATGCTACGCTTGTTTTTTCGGGGACAATGAAAGGGAGGATGTGGCCACGACGTCCATTCACAGCGGAAGCGGTTGATTCCGATAGCTTGAAGGTGCGTCTGGAGACTTCGGCTTCGCGGAGTTCAAGACTCCCGAGGGAGCGCTGGAGGAGACGCTTGTGATATCTTTTTGAGTGAGCCCTGGCTTACAACTTAAGTTTCCTCGTGGTCGGCATTTTGGCCGTGGCTCACAGGGCATCAAGAAAGTCGACGGTGTTGAAATCAAAGGTGGGGATCTCAGTGGACCCTTCGCATCTCGCATCTCGTATCGGTGCTGCTAAACCCGTGCCGCTAGCAAATGCCACAGGTCGAAAGCTGCGTTTGCGATGGGCAGAGAATGCTCCAACCACTCCGGAGGCACACTTCTGCCGTCGAATGCCCCGACAGGTTTTGAAGCAGCAGCAGCAGCAGCAGCAGCAGCAGCAGCAGCAGCAGCAGCAGCAGCAGCAGCAGCAGCAGCAGCAGCAGCAGTTGTTCCGGGGGGGGGGGAGAGGGGTTCGTTGTCTTTCTCAATTTCTTAGTGGTGTATTCTGAAAAGGCCTGAACAGGCACAAGTATCCTTCATATCATATCTTACATGCTCTGCAAAGAATAGGGGGGGGGGGAGGTTTTTGCCTGCCAAAACAGCAGCTGGAGAAGACTGCGGTGAAGAGGCTTCCATCCTCTGGATGTCGCCGAACCTCAGAACAACACAAGCGGACGTTTGGGCTTTGATGATGATGATGATGATGATGATGATTGTTATTCGTATCGTTATTTGTTATCATTACTTGTCATAAATACTAGTAATATTATTGTTATATCATTCCCAGCACGACCCAAACCGCGCGCCGCACCGCACCGCCCGGAGGAGATGAGCCACCCCAAGTAGACGAGGGGGGGCAGGACAACCACACCACAGGCAGGAGAACCACATCACAGGGTGCGGGAGAACTACGCCACCCAAACCGTGAACCACACCACACCAACCAACCATTGCGGGAGGGGGCCGGCCGAACCGGAAACATATACACGTACCCAGGACTGGAATCATTTCTGGGGACGTCAAGTCATCTCCTCCACCCTGCAGCACCTTCTGAAGGGCTGCGGGCTTGTGTTTGTTCGGAGACTTGGTCAAGTCGGCAAGTACCAACAATCCAAAGGCAATCAGAGTGCCGCATGCGCATGCTCACTAACGGCTCACTAGCGGCGAGGTGCTGTTCGCAGAAGCACATGCTGCTGCGCAAGCACAGTATCCATGTCCGTCGAGTAGCAGTGCAGCCTAACTGCTAGGTGGATGACTTCTATCGGGGGCCCGAGAGGTACAAGACACGCCTCTGCTACGAGGCACATCGGATGCCTTGCATTCAGCACGGCATGTCTTTGATGTGTGATTTGTGTGTGGGTTGTGCCAACAAATGCTTGCTTCTGTGAGGTATTGCAGGGCCTACCGTGTCCTCGTCCCGACAACTGTCCCTATGCGCCGACCCGCCGCATTGGTACAGGGTCAGCCGGACCCGCTTTGCAGATTCAGATTGCGGCGAGGCATGTTTCGTCAGAGCTCCGACATCCGCGAGATGACGAAGAGAAGTCCGATCACTTGGGCCGCATCATGTCACACTTTGGCAGCCTCTGGTGTTTGCATCCCCTGTGTAGCTAAAGGCTTTGTGTCGCGTGTTTTGAGGGTAAGGTTGCCGCCCGATTGGCACACACAGACATGGGCTCGACATGCGTGGCACGAGCTCAACCAAGGCCGGAGGCAAAGCCCATCGATCCCGAGGACGTGGGAGCGAAGGCTCAGCAAAATCTGCAAGTCTCTATGGTGTCGCAGTGACGTTAATTCCTGATTCATAAGCCCCCCGGTGCCGCCCTGCGGGGCAAGGGGGGGAGAGCAATACCATTCTACATGGCCCAAAGGAACGTGAACAAAACCCCAACAGTACCAAACTCGTTGATACTACTAACGGCGACTATCAACATCGCGACCACTAGTACTTGTACTAGTACTACCACTTGTGCAGGCCCACGATCTGGCAGAGAATCCTTTGGGGGAGGATCGCTGGGACTCTCTTGAAAAGGAGAACGACGAGACAAGTGGCGTCCTCGGGTGACTCGGATGCTGCATGCTTTTAATGTTAGCACGTCTGTCGTCTTGTGAATCTGGGGTTTACCACCATCGCCACTATAGTTCTGTCATGTCGATTTGTCGTATCGTCGTTCACATCTCGCTCATGTTTGTTTTTGTTGGTCTGGCTCTGGTTGTGATGCCGGCAGCACTGCTGTCATTGTCTTGTAGCTTGAAAAAACCGCTGCTACCACCGCCTGCAGCTATGGCTGTCGTTGCATTTTGGTACTACTTGCCTTGACTATAGGGGCAATGGTTTCTTCTCTTTGGGAGCTTTGGAAAACAGGGGAGCCCAAAAAACATCCTCAAATTAAATAGTAGGCTTGTATATGATTTCCTGAACCTCGAATCATCTCACATATCTCACCCACAGCGCTCGAGAAGGTCATGATAAGCCTTGAAGAAGCTTGGGAAAGCGCATAACAAAACCAGACCAGCTTTTGAGGAGTCTTCCTGAAGAATGCGGTATGAACTCTTCCGAAACTCAAACCAGCCCTTCACGAGCCTTGCAAAGGCTCACCCTATGGTTCAACACTAGCCTATGACGAGCCTTCCATGACACATGCTCACAAGTTGAAAACATGGTTTTCTGTAACGGAATCGTTTATCTTTTCCAAACGAGGCTTCACGCAACTACGACCGCATTCAGAGCCGACATGTGCAGAGCCCAGATGCTTTTGTCTCAAATTCTGCGGCAGTCAAGCATCTGTGTTTTGTTCAGCTTTCGTGCAAATCTAAGGCTGTGTGTCGCTTGCGGCTTGCGTGGCGCTGGCTTCTCGTCAAACAGGCATAAGACGCCCTACACCCTTACAGTGCATTTAATCACGGCTAGAAGCAGTTGGTGGGGCCAGCACAGATAGCCATGTGCTTTCGTGCATGCTGTATGGCCCAACCATGATAACGTCCACTCCAACCGCATCCGTTGACCGAGTTTCCATGGCCCAGCCATGATACTTGTGACGTCCACTCAAGTTATGGGGCTTGCTGAGGCCAAACCCACTTTTCTTAAGTTAAGCTGGGCAGCGAGTGGGCCGGGCTGGTTTTGGAATAGGCTAGAGAGGGGGCGTGGATACTTCCATCGAGACGCCGAAGCCTCGGCGGATTGGGACAAGTAATGTAGTTCATGTAGAATTTCTGCAAGCCGGGCTTCGGGGCTCAAGCGCGAGATTCATTTGCAAATCAGGGACCGTGTCGGTCTCCAGAAGCTCATGATCTGATAATCGCAAGGCTCCCTCAAGATTTTCTAGTCGTATTTGCAGCCAGCAGGACCAGCCATAGGCTAATGTGTCAATTCCGGTGCCCCCTAGACAAAGCTGGGAAAGGACTTCTCCTTTGTTGCCCTCTGCCTGTGACTTGCAATTCCTTTTGGTTCTTGTTATTTCTTGTTTTTTCTCGCTGCCGTCAACATGTATCATCGTCGCCTTATTTTCTTCACGATGTTCTAGGTACTTTCTTCTAACAGTTGGTCTGGTTGCAAGAATCGCCCTCTTCATATTGATCGAGCATCTGTGGTCGACAGTTGGCCTGGAAGTGCGATTGTGAGGTCGGGCCAAGCTGGGCGAGACGCATCCAGTGACTCTGATATCCATGGACGCTCTGGCTTTTCTGCTGCAGGCGGGCCGGATGTACGAGAAGTGTTGGGGAAGACAGCGCTGGCTGGGCACTGCGCATGCATGAAGCCCCCACGCATCTACTTTCTGCCTTCTGCGGACTTTCGGCTTACACGATCATCCCGGACACCTCAAGTATCCCTAAACCCCGCCGACCGTACCCAATCACCCCGAAGACCTCAAGCATCCCTGAACCCAACACCTTAAAGTTGCGACAGCGTAAACCCTGAGCTGAGCCCTGCGCTCTTCAAATGCATCGCCAAATGCCAGGTTCAGCAATGCTATGAGGAGGCTGACGGGAGCGACTCCTCCAAGGTTCGCCGCTGCCCCAGTCGGGGGCAAGCAAGTTCAGGAATGTGGCTTTGGCTTTTTTGGTGTCGAGGTTTGTTGTTGTTGTTGTTGTTGTTGTTGTTGTTGTTGTTGTTGTTGTTGTTGTTGTTGTTGTTGTTGTTGTTGTTGTTGTTGTTGTTGTTGTTGTTGTTGTCGTCGTAGTAGCATCAAAGAATCAGAAGAAGAAGAAGAAGAAGAAGAAGAAGAAGAAGAAGAAGAAGAAGCGCCCCAATCGGCTCGATCCTGGGCACGGAATCGCTTGTTGATTGTGCAAACCAGTCCTCAACACAGAAAAATACAGAAGAGCTCAGTGTCCAACCTCTGAAGCGTCTAAACTGTAGCTGCACACGTCAGAGAGATTCAAGGTGCACCAACACTCCCCACACCGCTTCATGACATTTGTTCTTGATCCAGGTCGCGCCCGCCAGGATCCGGCATGAATTCAGAAACCTACCCAGCAAAGCTGGGTAGCTCTGTTCAGATTTGTTAGCTCGCCTTGAGGGCCTAGAATAGTCGCTCCAAACTCTGAGGCAGTTTGGGTGCGGGATACATCAGCGCCGGAACTGTCCAAACTGGAATCCTCAAACCGCCTTAAGGCCATCCTACACTCCTTTCGAGACCTGAAACCTCATCACACAATGCACCACTTATGCGTTTTCGTTTTGTGCTCGGTGTTTGTATTTCGTGGATCTCTGCTGTTCATCTGGCGGATCCTCTCGTAGGGACGGTGCACAGACTTGGGCCATTCGTTTTGCCCATCTCCGATTCGGCCGAAGATGGTCCAACTCTTTATACCGGTGGTTGCCCGCTTAAAGCACGCAGCAGCCTCCCAGATTTTGCTCGATTGCCCCCGGCAATCCGACATGTTTTCCAGGGCCGCTTCCGCCTGGCAGCTGAAACTCCAGAGGCTCAGCCCAAGATACAACGCAATCGTAGTTTAAGACGAGTTGGCGAATCCCTTGCTCGGGAAGAGTCTTGGATCAACAAGCATGAGTGGAGCTGTAGAGATTAAGTGCCGGTGGTGTGGGAAGCCGGGTCCCGAGATACGCGCAAACAATTCGTGTGGTGTCTGTCGTTCTCTTGATAGGGTCCGAGGATTATGCAACCGGCTTCCCATTACTGCGAGCCCAGCTGTGTTAGGCAAGCTTAAGGAGCTTGAAAGTACCCTCAGGGATTGGTTGCCTTTCGGTGGACCCCCAGATGATTTCGAGCAAAAGCGTGAGCTTTCACCTGAGCCTGTCAGCCTTGCACAAGCCCTTAAAGCTACGCCTAAGAGCGCGAGCCATAGCACTGCCGAGCCAGCCTCATCCGATCCGCCTTTTGAGAGTGGGGGTCACGGGCGAAAGCGCAAGAAGAAGAACAAGGGGCGAAGCCGCCAATCGTGGAAAGCTGCTCGTGACGCTATTGCTCTTAGCCGTTCAGAGCTGGCCGATCCTACCGCGGAAGACCGCGAGTACACGTCCGATTCCGAGCTGGATTGAAACTGGTCTGCATCTATATGGGTCCCCAGAGGAAACCTTCGACTCGGCATCGTTCGAGATCCCCGCCTCCCATTCTGCGACGTAGACAGTTCAAGAAGGGCATTCCTTACGATTATCAGGGCCGGCTCTCACGTGGGGATACCTTGGCTTTGAGCATAGTTCCTTTGAGTTTTTGGGAACCCGGTAGGAGATATCAAGTCAAAGGGGACTATTGGGGAAAGACAACGTTGATTTGTGGGACTTTGGAGACTTTGGCAGTAAGTCGCACCGGTTCATACTTGTATTTGACCCTCAGTGGCACTGACAATCTTGAGCTGCAGCGATGGGCCGAGAACCTCACAGTCAACGGCCAGCCTCCCGAACTGACAATCCACATATGCCCCCCAACATGTCCGAGGACGGCAGTGGCAGCTTCATCAATGCATGGCATGGAAGTGTCAAGAGAGGACAGTGGGGCAGTTTGGGCCCGAAACGTCGAGAGTCTTCCCCAAGGCATGGTTCCTGCGCCAGGGGCAGGCTTGGAACAAGAGTTAGCCGCACTAGCAGGAGGAGTCCCCATAGACGCCGGGAAACAAGCCGCTCGCCACTCCCCAGACAAAGACCAAGTCAAAACCGGCTCCCACAGCTACAAAGGCACTCCTTTGGACCCCCAAAAGAAGCTCAAGAGTTTTCTGAAGAAGAAGAAGAAGAGGGAGAAGAAAAAGGGGAGCCGCAAGATGAAGCACAAGAAGGACAAAGCAAGTGGGAAGAATCAGGAGAGCAGCTACAGCAACACCAGCACCAGCAGCAGTGGGAGTACAGCGGACTCTCAAGACTCTCATCCTTTTCAAGATTCCCATCGGGTGAAGAAACTAGCGCGCAACAAGCCTGGGGTGTTGATTCGGCATGCTTTGGACGAAATGTCACGCCTACTCGTAGAGGATACAGGCGAGGAGGGAGCTCACAAGGTAGCCCCGGTCGTGCTGAAGTATGTGCGTCTTCATCTGGCAAACAAGGGCATGAGTCCAGGGGTGAAGAGAGAGTTGCTCACAATCGCCTACACGCTAGACCAGTTGATTCGGCGCAACATCTTGGGTGGTCTCGACATTTTAATTCAGCGGCTGAAGGCTATAGAGTTGGTGGTCGCCGGCGCAGCTTGGGCTGTGGCTCAGAATGTCGAGCTGGTGCCTCTAGAGCAGGAGCGAGTGGCGAGCGTAGCAGAAGCACACGAAGCAGCGAAGGAGTTCAAGCAAGATTCCAAGGTTTGGAGAGAACTGGGCAAAGGCAAAGGGCAGTTTCCCTGGAAAGGGGATTGGAAAGGCAAGCCCGGGGACAAGGGAGAGAAAGGAGATGGCAAAGGGAAATGGTGGGCAAAGCAGAGGGGAGAGCGAGAGAGATACGCAGCAGCCAAGGTGGAGCCCACCAGACCAGCTTGAGAGAGGGTGTTCCTAGCTCTCCTTTAAGTAGGAGGGTAAGGGATGCTCCTCGTGGATGGTCTCCGGGCGCAGGAAGCGGATGCGTGGGGGCGTCGCTGGCGGCGCCAGCCGCCGAGAGGCCTTCTTTAGCAGGTTTGGTTTCAGAACAGTCGGATGAGGTATTGTTTCCAGAGTCGTCGAGAACTTTAGGAAGGTTTTTGATGGAATATGCTCTGGGCAGTGGTACTTCTACTTTTGCCAAGTGGTTGCAAGATTTCTGCGAGGGGAAGGGAGCTTCCATGGCAGAGGGAACAACTGAAAATAAAAACATCTTCCCTCTGCCCCTGCCCAGCGCAGTCGACTTGGTAGATGCCTTGGATACACATCAGGACGAAGATTTGTGGGTGTATCTGTTGGTGGCTAGCCTAAATTACATGCACGGGGGAAATGGCGCGCATTTCAATCAGCGACCTCCTTCTACAGTCCAGAAACTATGTCTGGATTATCTACGTTCCAGAGTACAAGCTTTCATGTCTCACAGTTTCACGTTGTCAGAGTTTGATTGGAAAGATTTTTTCAGCACGCAGAGTTTGAACTATGTTGGGGATGAAGTCAAAACAGCGAAATGGACTACATGGGCGAATTTAGAGCCAGCCCTGCCTTATGGGCACATCGGGGCCATCAACGTCCTTGACTTGGCGGACGGAGGAGTGCGAGAGCTTCTCATGGATCCGCTTCAGTTTCTCAAGCCTCGATGGGATGAGCGGCCGGTGCGCTCCTCAAGGGTGATGGTGCAAGAAGCAGATTGGGGCGAAGTGGCCCGCGGCTTGGTCAAGTACAACTTGTGCGCAGTTCTGCCGGAGAGTGCGTTGGTTGCACCAGGTGGGGTGCCACTTCGGAATGGCCTTTTTGGCATCGAGAAAGGAGAGGTTGCCAACGGTCATGCTGTGCACCGTCTTATTATGAATTTGGTGCCTTTCAACACCGTCTCCCTTTCCATTGAGGGGGACGTGGGAACACTTCCAATGCTTTCGCAGATGAACTGCCTCCAACTGCATCCTCAAGAGTTCCTTGTCGTCTCTTCTGAGGATATACGCTGCATGTACTACCTCTTTGCCTTGCCAAGCTCATGGTATCCATTCCTGAGTTTGAACATGCCAGCACCGCAAGACCTGGTGCCACCACATGTGGAGGAACCATGCTTTTTGGTTTCCAAAGTGCTGCCTATGGGCTACTTGAACTCCGTGGGCATCGCCCAGCACCTGCACCGAAACCTCATCACACGAGCCCAAGGTGGCCCTACCCGGTGCGTCCCTTGGGCAGAAAGGATAGAGCGTGGTCGCAGGCCAACCCTGTTTGGCGAGTTTACCTGGACAACCTAGATGTGCTCGAACGGGTGCGTCCTGAACTCGCGGTCATGTTGGAGGGCTCCCTCAATAATGACCTCAAACCGCTCATTCAAGAGTACGAGGAAACCGGCATCCCTTTGAATGCGAAGAAGTCGGTCAAACAATCCACGTTCGCAGAGGTTCAGGGTGCCGAGATTGACGGCAAACTAGGTTTGGCCCGCCCCAAAGGCGACAAGTTGGCAAAGTACACCAGCGCAGTCTTGAGTTTGCTCCGCCGAGGATGGTGCAGCCAACGGGAGATGCAAGTTGCAGCTGGCGGCTTGGTCTATTTCGCAATGTTCCGTCGTCCCTTGATGAGCGTCCTGAATTTCGTGTGGCGTTTCATCCAGTCCTTCGAGATTACCAGGCAACGCCGCCTGCCAATCCCCACGGGAGTTCAGTCAGAATTGCTTCTTTTTCTGGGCCTTCTTCCTCTTGCTCACATTGACTTCCGAGTTGTTAGCTCCGACATCGCTACCGCCAGTGACGCATCATGTTTGGGCGGGGGGATTTGCGCAAGTGATGGTTTGACCGAGCTTGGAGCAAAGGTGGCTGTAGCACCTTTTCGCGGACAACAACAGGGTGATGTTCCGGATGCCGGCCTGGTGTGCATCAGCCTGTTCGATGGAATCAGTGCGGCCAGAGTTGCCTTGGAGGTCTTACAAGCCCGGGTCTGCTTGCAAGTGTCGGTTGAGCCCGACCTTTCAGCTCGGCGTGTCGTGGAAGCCAACTTCAGCGATGTCATTCACGTTGCCAAGGTGGAGGACATCACTGCGGAGATGTGCCGGGCATGGGCCAGCAAATCAACTCGAGCCTCACTGGTGCTACTCACTGCAGGTCCACCGTGCCAAGGCGTCAGCTCCTTGAATGCCCATCGAAAGGGGGCCATGGATGATGAACGCAGCCGATTGCATTTTGCCGTCCAACATGTTCTCAGCCATGTGCGAGAAGCTTTCCCCTGGTGCCGTACTGCTTTCTTCCAAGAGAGCGTCTGGAGCATGGATGCCGAGGACAGGAAAGTGTATACGCAAGCGGCTCAGGTCCTCCCCTATCGGGCCTGTTGTTCCGGGATGGTTCCATGCAAGCGGGACCGCCTTTACTGGTTTGACTGGTCCCTCGAGTCCGAACCAGGTGTCACGCTGTATCCCCCTCCAAATTCGGCTGCAGAATCATATGGCCAAGTCGTGTTCAACACAGATGTGGACACAAGCGGGCTCTTCAAGCCAGGATGGGCGCCGCCCACAGGAAAGACGCCAGGTACTTTCACCACCGCACAGCCGTCGCTGCTGCCCCGCCAATGGCCAGCAGGCCTCGCACGTTGCGATGAGTCCACTTTGCAGCGATGGCGGGCCGATCGGCACCGCTTCCCTCCTTATCAATACCGGCCCGCTGCATTGCTTTATCATCCCGACCGCCCGGAAGGTCGTATTCCCGACGTGCAGGAGCGAGAACGACTGCTTGGATTCCCGGTGGATTACACGTTCACCTGTTTGCCCAAGAATGAAATCAAAGCCAACCCGCTTCGACACGAGGACGTGAGGATGACCCTCCTAGGCAACAGCTGGTCGGTGCCTGTGGTTGCCTACTTCTTTCTTCAGCTGCTAAAGCCGCTCCGACTCTGCCGACTCAGCTCTTTGCGTGACGTGCTGCTCACCCTGTTCACAGAGGAACCCATTTCGGGCGAGGCTCTCCTTTCTTGGAGGGCCCTCCGGCACTCGACAACTGCTAAGTCCCCTCAGGTGCCCAACGCAGCCCTGTCCACCTCCCACGCGGACAGCGCTTCGCAAGTCTCGCCCTCTCACTTAACTACTCAGTTGGCAACCTTGGCATCCATGAAAGGCGAGGATGTACTCATCCAGATGTCTCACGATGCCCGGATTCCTCAAAAGTTTCGCCGCAGCGTCCCAGTCGAACTGTGGACATGGAAAGAGATCTGTGGATGGCGATGGGCTGCACAGTCCACAGAACATATCAATCGCCTCGAGCTGCGAGCAGTGTACACATCCCTGCGATGGCGCCTGTTGAGGCGCAAGGAAGTCCGAACCAAATTCGTCCATCTGACCGATTCCTTAGTTTCTTTGCATGTCATCAATCGCGGACGGAGTAGTTCAGTCAAAATCCAAACTTTGATGTATCGCGTCGCGTCCCTGCTTTTGGCCACTGGCTTCCACCCTTGCCTCGCTTATGTCTCGACTCACACCAATCCCGCAGACCGCCCGTCCAGGCGGGCCCGTGTCCGTAAGAAATGGTCAAAGTGACCACCGTTGCTGCAGGTCGAGACAAGCAAGCAAGGAAAGCCGCCCGCTCGGCGCTGGGTACGCTACGCGAAAACACAGTTGCTCCAAAAACTCGGGAGCGCTACACCGCCGCTTTAACGATTTTTTTCTTCTTTTGTCGGTCTCACCAGTACCGTGTCCCAGATGACCCGGCTCGCCTGGATCTTCTCCTAGGCGACTACATCGACTTTTTGTGGCAGGATGGCGAAAGCTTGTCCCTCGTCACCGATTGTCTTTCTGGGTTGCAGGACCTCAGGCCTCTGTTGCGGGGCCACTTGCCTTTGTCATGGCGCTTGGTGCGTACGTGGCAAAAGCACGAGATGCCAGCAAGAGCACCTCCGCTCCCGGAAGAGCTGCTTCAGAGTATGGCCGGTTTTTGTAGTATGCAGGGTCGCCACCGTTTTGCATTAGCCTTGCAAGTCGCTTTCTATGGAGTACTGCGGACCGGAGAGCTCCTGGCCCTGCAGGCTCGACACGTGGATGTGTCCGAAAGGGGAGACTTCGCAGTTCTCAATTTGGGCTACACAAAAACGTCGCAGAGAGTGGGTGCAGCCGACTCTGTCACCCTTAGAGTCTCTTATCTTTGCCAGCTTTTGAAAGTCTGGAAGCAGCGCGTGAAGCCTCACGCGTTCTTGGTCCCTACGTCCGCGTACTTGTTTCGCAAAACTTTTGACGACTGCCTCAAGCAGTTGCAGATCCATACGTGGGCCTTCCGCCCTTACAGTCTTCGGCGCGGCGGAGCTACCGCATATTTTCGCAAGAATCCCAGTTTTGATTTCGTGCGGCAGATGGGCCGTTGGTCCAGTGACCGTACTGCGCGTATCTATTTGAATGATGGCCTAGCTCAGCTCGCCACCATGGAGTTCAGCGTTGCGAGGCCGCCTCTTCAGCGGCCTTTTCAGTTCTTTCAGTCGCAGCTTCGCCGCGATCCCTGCGGAACAGGAGGGGGACGTGGATAGCGCCATACTTGGGGAGACAGGCAGCAAGTGAAGAGGACCTAAAGAAAGCTTTCTTAATAGACCTGTGAGTCCTTACATTAGCTATTCAAGTTCGGTCCTGTTGCGTGCTGCCTTGACTTGTGAGATTTGTAAGTCTCCCAGATGGCAAGATTTGTAAAACTATCCGGGGTGGCAGATTCTTTGTTGACAAACACTTCTCCTCGCAGAGACAAAAGAGGGAAGAGCCAATCCGAGTCTTAGATACAACGCAATCGTAGTTTAAGACGAGTTGGCGAATCCCTTGCTCGGGAAGAGTCTTGGATCAACAACCCGCCCTCTCCGCCCTGTCGCAGGCGCCGCGGCTGACTGTCTCGCTGGTTCCTTTCTGTTTTCCCTCCGGATAGCGCCATACTTGGGGAGACAGGCAGCAAGTGAAGAGGACCTAAAGAAAGCTTTCTTAATAGACCTGTGAGTCCTTACATTAGCTATTCAAGTTCGGTCCTGTTGCGTGCTGCCTTGACTTGTGAGATTTGTAAGTCTCCCAGATGGCAAGATTTGTAAAACTATCCGGGGTGGCAGATTCTTTGTTGACAAACACTTCTCCTCGCAGAGACAAAAGAGGGAAGAGCCAATCCGAGTCTTAGTTCTAGGCACCAGGCACTCCAATGTAAATGAAGTTGCTGATTGGAGGGCCGGAGATTGCGAGATATCGTGTGATATCTTGTGAACGAATGTCATTCGAATTGTAAACGTTTGCGCGCGCCGCCTCGGCAGCCGAGCCGGCCCACGGGCCAAGGCCCAGGACAGGAAAAGAGTTTTGGAAAAGGTCCCCAAACAAAAAGGGGGTCCCAGGGAGGGCGGGGTCCCAGGAAGGGTTTTGGGGGGGTCCCAACAACCCGGGCAAAGCAGGGACCCAGACAGGTTTCAGGGCAGGTTTTTCAGAGTAGGTTCTAGGGGGGGGTACCAGGGGGTGTCAGGAGGGGCGGGCCGGGGGGGGGGGCGGGGGGTGCATCACAAAATTCCGGACGGGGAAGGGGTGAAGGAGACCGGATCTGGGTCTGCTTGCTCCAGACGCTTTCTTAAGGGTTTAGGATTGAGAGTTTAGGCTCACAACAGAAAGTAACGTACGCATGCGCTTGTTTGTCTTGATTTTTCTTATGCGAAAGGAAATGGTCCTGTGACTTTGCGTGCGCCTGTGCTGCGATGAACTTTTCGCGCATTGAAGCAACAGGAAAAACAGCAAATTCCTCGAGATTTTGAAGGTTCCTGTCAAGACACCCGCAGGTCCACGTACTCGTGCGCCTGTTTGTCGTGTGTTTTACAATACGAAATGGCCCTATCATTTCTCGTGCGCCTGCGTTGCGATGAGCTTTTCGCCGTGAAGCAATAGAAAACCAGCAAATTCCTCGGGTTTTTGAAGGTTGCCGACTGTGGACAACCACGAACATGTAATGCAAAGACACAAGACGCTCGCGTGGAGCAGCTTTGGAGTGCGCGTTTTTCTTAAACTGCGTTCCGAGGACGCCTGGAGCGCCCCGCAATTTTGACGGAAAACCAGCTGTTTTTACATGGCGAGAAACAATTGCCGACATCGGTTTTGTACTGCGCTCACAATACAAACGCATTTGGCCACTCTCGTGCGCGCGTGAACAACCGGTCCGAGCGTTATTGATAGTTGTAGTTCATGTTTTTTGATATCTATCCACGGTGTTGAAAGTTCACACAAGAACCAGTTACTTGTCTCAAAACCCGTTTCATCATATTCAGGAACTGTCTCAGCATCCTTGTTCCGTGATCTTGCGGTGCGGTTCAGAACGGGTTCCAGCCGCTCGCGATTCTTCGATGTTGGACTCAGATCGGTTCGGTTTGGAACGGCTTGGAATGGGCTAGGGCCGGTTAGGGGTTTGAGTGTGGAGGTTTGCAAGGTCGGAGCGGCTCGGAGCAATGTCGACAAGCAGCCCACCGAGTATCCCAAGACGTGGTGGAAGTGTCCTTGAGAACTGAAGTCTTTTGGTTCAAGATGGATTCAGGGATCCTGGAGTTGTTCCCAAGCCCTGAGCTTTCCCCTTCTACCTCCCTTGCTTGTTCTTGTCTTGTACTGTGTACGCTACTTGGTTGAACACCAAAGGATCAGACTGAAAGCTTTTGGAGCTTCTTCTCATCATTTGGAAATTGTTGCGGCCTGATGCGATCAGAATTGCTCGCAGGTAATGCAACAGGGAAAGTAGGCTGCTTCAAAGCTTAAACGCCGCTTTGTGCTACAAAGCTTCTTGCGGGATTTCTGAGCTCGCCCGCAAGCAAGGGTCACACATGACAGCGATGTGTCCGAGTTTTGCAAAATTCTCTGTTCTTTACGTTGTGCGTGCTCAGCTCCGTGGTGTTTGAGCATACTGATGCCTTGTTGTGTGCCTTACCGCAGTCTTTCGGTTCTTCGCGTGCAAACGAGGGAATGTTCCATCATGCTAGAGCTAAGCCGAAAGGCTTGTGATCGATTCAACTGACGCTGCATGAAACAAACATCAGAATGTCTTTGCAAGTTCTTCAAGTGCTGCGATGAAGCCTTGTGTTTGGGAATTGTTTCCATGACCTTACCGATAGTGCTGCCGGTTCTGCTCGAGCCGTCCAGAATCAGAAGCAAACTTATGTGCAAGAGTCTGCAACTCAACGCATTTTTCACGGTCGAAGCTAGGGAGCTAGCAATGGTTCAGTTTCAAATAAGGTTCAATAAAAGTGTTAACGGGCTTGCGTAGGTTGTGCGGGATTCTGACACGCAGCATTGCACGGCCAGACCTGTGGCGTGGGAGTTTCGTGGATTTTGGTTTGTCACTGCTGACTGCTGACGGCAGCCTTCATTTCCCAGGCCCTCAGGCAGCGGTCCCAGAATCAAAGGATTTCATGCATGCTTGCTTTTCCGAATTTGCAGGGGGCTCCATGGAACCTTCTGACGGGGCGTTTAAAGATTTCGGGGCGAGGTAGGGGGGATTGGGTTGATTCATTCATGTTGCAGGCCCATGCTTGTTAGCCACGATATGTCTTTTCCCGGCGAATCGCGAGTCGCATAGGCTCATGTCGGAGGATGGCAGTGGCTTCAGCGCAGGGGGCCAACAGGGTTCATGGTTTTGCATTTGCCCGGAAGTCCATGTTGTGAGCTTGACAAGGTCAGCCCCTCTGTCAAACTTATGCTATTGCAAGGAGCCTTTGCGCAGCTCTTAAGCTGACTTGGTGATTGCCCTTTCTTTGCAGGACAAATCCAAAGCTCGCAGAGCACGCAGAGCTCGCAGAGCTCGCAGAACTCGCAGAGCTCGGTGTCGCCAGCGCCTCCGGCTTCGACAGCTTCGACAGCGGCACCTGGAGTCCCCGCGAGCGCGTCGGAACTGGCGGCTTCTGGCCTGAACTGATCTAGACATTCTTTAGCGCTACATAGCGCTGCCCTATGGGGCTATGGCAGGATGTTTGATCCAAGGCGGTTTTGTCATCTTTGAGATCTGCGGCTTAGATGCATGTGGAGAAGCTGCACAGTTCAAGGCTCGGCTTGCGTCTTCGCCAAGGATGGTGAAGACTGCCGGGCGCTGCTCAGACGAGCAGCTGCAAGCCGCCAGTTAGGAGAAGGCACCAATGATGCACCATGTCGGGAGTAGATTTTCTTAATCCCATAGCATAAGTTTCGGAGGGGAGCTGGCAAGGTGTCGAAGAAGAGTTGCGCTTAGCTGAAGACGCTCTGGACTTGTTGCTTGGCTGAAGACCGTTAGATTCATGGACAACTTTACGGAGGGATAACTGTATCCAGATTTGCCAAATTGTTGGCCTCTGCAAAACCGGGCTGTTTGCAAACGCTGTTTGTAATCGCTGTTTGCAAACGCTGTTGCAAACGCTGTTGCAAGCGCTGTTGCAAACGCTGTTGCAAACGCTGTTGCAAGGTTGCAAAAGCTGTTGCAAACAATTTGCGCAGTTGCATGTTGTGTCCTTCCATCTCCAGTAAGCTGTCCTTTTCGAGCACGATGTTTGCAAATTCGTATTCTCCAACACTCCACTTTTCTCTCAGGTTCCGGGCCGAGGGTGGCCCACCTTGGCCCTCCCGTGCGACCTCTTCGACCTCGCCGAACTGGGAGGAGCCTCCTGTGTTGTGTCTTTGCCTCTTTTTTCAACAAAAGGAAAGGAAGAACAAAAGAAGAAGAAGGATAAGAAGAAGAAGCAAGAAGATGAAGGAAGGAGAAGGAGAAGAGCAGCGGAGAGCAGCGGAGAGCGGAGGCCGCGGCGCTCTGCGCCGTCGCGGAAGCGCACCTTGGCATCCAGGACGCTCCCAAGGCCGCGTTGGTGGGGTGGGGGGTTGTAGGTTGCGGGCGGGGGGGGGGAGCGTGTGTTTCTCTCTCAGAGGTCGTTCCCTCTCTCTTTTCAGAGGGCTGTTATTTATTTCTGCTACGAGATTGTTAGGGGAAGCGTATTGTTAGAAGAAGCTGTTGAGGCCTTGGAGGCCGCCGAGGAAGCCAGGGCACTGTGCCGTGCCCAGCGCTCGCGGACCGGGGAGGCTGAGGCACTCCGTGGCACGCCACGCTTTGCTCCCACTGAGAGTCCGCGTTCCTGTTGAGACTCTACACCTGGAGGCTCTGGTTGTGCAGTTTAAGGCACAGCTCCTTACCATCTCTGAAGACCAGAGGATTGTGACGGGGACTTAGCTGCCAACTGTTTAGAAGGGAAGGACAACCGAGGGCATGTTGCTTAGGCGGGAGCTGCTGGCATTGTGGAGGGAGCTTGGAGCTACTTGGGGTGAAGTTGCAGAAACTCTCAGCATGGCAGAAAGGCCCGCCCTCTGGATTGCTGGACATGGCTGTTTGCTGCTATTGCTGGTTGCGATTTGTTTGGATAACCTTTGAACCTGGACACAGGTGTCGGGCTTCCGGTGTCCAGCTGGAAGATGCCCTGGCAGATGCAGCAGAGAAGCGTGAGCTGCAAACACAGCTTTTGAGAGCATTTGCAGCTTTCTTTTCTCAAGATTCAATACTCTGCCCGCATTCTTATCTAACTGAGGTTGGAGCATCGTTGGGGCTTGGCTCAGGCAGCTGTGGTTCCGGGCGGTTCTCATGCAGTTCAGATTCAGGCCAACTCGATACGACATTCCCATCCAGTTCCGTTCAGGATCTTTGTGCAGCTCTATGCGTGCACCCAGCCTTTCGAGCCAAAGCAAAGCTTCTTCGCCTGTTGGAGGCACCTGGCATGTTGCCCCATTCCTTTGCACCTGCTGAAAGGTGATTTGAAAAATGTACATTGCTGGCGTGTTTTTGTTGTCCCTCCTGCTAGGAGCTTCTCAGCGCATGCCGACAGTGTGGAGCGTTGAGAGCGGAAGATGTGGAGGGTTCTGCATCCGCTCAGGCGAACCGGAGAGAATGCATGAGATTCACTGGTTCCGAATTTCGGCTGGGTGGTGACCGAAGGGCTGTCTTACTGCCAGGCTGCTGAAGCACAGTTCGAGGCAGCCTTCACTTTTTGGCCTGGTGCGAGGAGATGTGAATAACTTGTTGAAGTGCTGTTGCAGTGTTGCTACCGTGGCTGCGTGGCTTTGAGAATCTTTGATGTTTTGAGATTTTTCTTGTGATTCTCCTTTGGTTTTTTGGAGGCTGGACAGGTGAGTGAGGCCCGGCGTGCTGCGGCCGGAGTCCTGCGACTCCGTGAGGCGAAGGACCGTTTGATCTAGGGGCATCTTGAGGCTTTCTGTGCTTTTTCAGTTGAACAGAGTTGAGAAAACCAAGTTGAAGCTTTAAGCAAAGTTGAAAAGGCAGTGGCAGTGTTGGGCTCGAGATGGCTCAAGATACGGCAGTGCTGCCAAGTCGCGCAGCAAAGCCCGGCTTAAAAGAAATGGCTTCAGTGGTTCAAGTGTTCAAGCTGGTAGCCAATCCTGCAAAGAATCTCAAGAGAAACAGGGCATTTTCTTGAGCTCAGAGAATAGAACAAAAAAACAACATAACTACAGAACCTTTGCCGTCTGGCAGACAACTGCAACATCCTGATGAAGAGTGCCATCATGCGACACCTAAACTTAAACTGGAGGGGCCTTTGCGTGGGAAGATTGCCGCACCCCATTAGGTTTGTGCTGGTTGTGTTGACACCTTCGGCAACCATACGTTCTGCTCGGTGAGAGATGAGGGCGTCGTTAAGGCGGTTGCAGTAGTCGAAGCATACTTCCAAGTGCCACTGCATTGGGAGCAGCCCATGGCGTTTGGTGGTATTGCAAGATTTTCGCGTTTATCGGGACGAGCTTCCAGTCTTCTCGCAAGCACACGGCCAAGGTCATTTTGGGCTCTTCTTCGTTGTGCCTGGCTTTCTTGACTCGAGCATGAAGCCGACAACAGTGCCACGTCGACTCGCCACAGGATGCCGTCGTGCTGTTGGGTAGTGAATCTTCGCCACGCACTGGCCATACACCGGTCAGCGTTGCTTTTGTGCTGCCTCGTGCAAGTCAATGTGGCAAACGCTGAGCCACAACACGGGATGCCAATCCTTGAACCCCTGCTTATGCTGCTGTATTGAGCTTTTCTGGCCGGGCAGAGCGGCTTTGCTGAAGTTTTTTGGCCTCCAATGGTGTTTCAAGGGCTGCCAGCTGAAGACCTTCGCCATGTGCATCTCGCAAGATTGCTGGTATTTGCTGTAATCGGGCTTCGGCTTGTGGAGCCCCACATGCTTTTTGACTTGCGCTCCCCCTCCACATCTGAGGCTCTGTTCTTGGGAGAAAAAAACACCACGAAAAACCTTCAAGATACAAAGCACAGGTCATTTCTTCGCATTCCTCACCTGAGTCAACCAGGGTTCGCTCCTCATAGTGGCTTTGCTGCGGTAGTGGAAGGCGGTGGCACGGGCTTTGAAGCTTTGGTTTACCTTCCCTTCATGCCCTTACATTTTAGCAAGGTGGCGAGCATGGTGAAGTGTATAACAATCGAAGATCACATCCGCGAAAGTAATGGTCAACTCAGCTGAAACTCATCGGCAACATGCCATGCCGGAAAGTTGGCCGCTATTCCTGGGCAGGTTTCATCCATGGCTGGTCAAGTGTCAGACCAGCCTGAGAGAATGAGATCAACACAAAATGTGTGTCAAAATGCCGCGCGCTGTTTTGCAGCTGATTGGGCGATTTGCAATGTACGTTATGGGATGCTTGGGCATGGGTTTGCAGGGACGGCTTTGCTATTGCCATGTCAGGGAACAGTTCGACCATTTACATTTCTGCAACGTTACTCGGGAATTGGTTCTTTTGCAGGGACAACTTCACTAGCTGCACTAGCTTTGCTTCAGGAGGGTCTGGCAACGGTGTGTCGGTCGCGGCAGGGCCCTGGGCCTTACTCGCTTTTCCATCGCCTCCAATGCAGGACACGGCGGAGTTGTCTCGGAGGGACGAGGTGTGGCAGCGCAGAAACGCATGCAGGAATTCAGGATTCCCTTCAGGTTGTTAAGCACTATATTTTACTATGCAGCAGAGTTGCTCGAATTTCTCAGAGGTCAGAGCGCTTCTGGTCATCGGCCGCTCGAGCCCAAGAGCGCGGGCTCCACGAGAGTGCTCTCTGAGTGCTCTCTGAGTGCTCTCTCATTCTCCGCGTGCCCGCGATGCGATATTGACGCATCGATGCGAGATCGCCCCCACCGTTTCCGTTTCTTCCTTTCTTTTCATTTATGTTTTTTTTTTTGTGTGTGTGGGTGGGTGTGTTTAGTGTTTTTCTGTTGCGCTTTTGCTTTGCTTGCGGATGTGTTGTGCGCTCCATTTTGTGGCTCTTCTCTGAGGCACGGCCCTGGTCCTGCCAAAACGGCGGGCCGAAGAGGCCTGCTTTGTGATGCTGTTGCGCTTTGCTTCTCGGAGATTGTTTTGCAGAGTCCAGCCCAGAGACACCCAGCTGAAAGCACAATGACTACTTTGGCAGTAGACCCAGAAAAGACCACCTCCTTTGAAAAAAGGAGGCCCGCCTTTTTGTGGGCCCTTCTTTGTTTTGGGTATTCTTTTGCGGTGTCTCTTGTTGTTGCTTGTTGTTGCTTGTTGCTATTTGTTGCTATTTGTTGCTATTTGTTGCTATTTGTTGCTATCTGTTGCTATCTGTTGCTCTTAGCTTTTTGTTTCCGGTCTGCCCTTTTCGCTTTTGCGTTGCTTTGCGCTCTTTGCTTTTTTGGCTTTTGTCCTTTCTGATCTCTGCTCTCCGCTTTCTGCTTGTGCCTTGCTTTCTCTTCATTTTGCTCGTTGCTTTATGTTTTTTTGTTTTCGATTTGTCGCTTCTTGCTTTTGCTTTTTGCTTCTGGTTTATGGGAAGGCAAGCAAATGTGTCCCTGCCACTGTTTGGCGACTCGGAACTTTCCGAGCCTGAAAAATGGTACTGGACCTGGACGAAAGCACGATTCGAACGCTTCTTGGCATTTCCGGGCCCTGAAGTGCTCACAGCGCCTAAACGACGGCTTCCGAACCCACAAGAAGCACTGAGCAGGTCATCGATTTCCATATGGCAATGGGTACAAGACAAAAAAGACCCAAACAAATTCTGAAACCAAACAGAAAAGTCCCTAGATTACTTCTAGAACCCCAGCAAAAGGTGTGTGTGTGTGTGTCATGCATGCACGCACCATTAAAAAGAACGTTGTGACGCAGATGATAAAATGGAGTAAGCATGAGCAGGCATGAGCAGGCATGAGCAGGCGGTCAAGAATGCAAAAAAGCACCTGGTCTTAAGCTGGAATGAATGTGAGTGTCATCATCGTCGGCACCGAAATGGTATGGGCTCTTGCGGGCAGCTGGCGAGCCGATATGCTAGAAACGAGGGTGCGCCAGCTGATGTGTTCGCATTGGCCACATCTCGTGGTGAAAGACCAGTACTGCGTGGAGATGTATCTGCCCGAAGTTTTGGATGTGACCGACAAGCATCTGCTGCCTGAAGAAGGGATGAGCCTAACATACGACAGGCTCAGGGAGGGGTTCCACGACGAAAGTGCTGCTAGACTTGACGGGCTCCATGAGTGTGTTCCGTTTTGCATTTGCATCTGGAGCGAGGGGACTTTACGAGACATGCTGTTAAAAAGGATCTTTCGTTGGCCCTTTCCAAGCTCCATTTCCAGCCTTCGTTTGAAGTTGTTGCTTGTAGTCATTCCATGGCCAAAAGCCCTGTCGGGAGGCCTTTCGAGCAGGCGTCGAGGCCTTCTGAGCTCTGCGAGTTTCATTGGTCAGAGATCATTCCATCTGCTGCAGGCAGTGGCGCTCAGCCGAGAAGTTGGCGACCGAACAGGTGGGGCAGACATGTATTTGGGATTGTTTGGCTTATGGCTGCGATCGGCAGATCGTCCTGACACATGGCTTTGCATTGCAAAAATCAGCCGCAACCTATCTCTCGGTCAACACGTCCTCCCCGCTGACACTTTTCGGTCCGTGCAACAAATCGTAACCTAATTTCTAATATCCCTAGCAAGTTAAATGGGAGCTTCTGCTGAATCTGGTGGAGACACTTTGAGACCAGGCGAAGCTCATGCCTTGCACTTCTTGGCTGCGGCAAGTCTAGCAACCGAAGGCTCGCGTCCAGCTCAGGTGACTCCTGTGGTTTGCAAAGCGTCCAAGTGAGTTCCACCACCAGTTTCGTCAAGCCTTGTTAAGGGGTTTCATGATGTTGGACATGCAGTTGCTTTTGTGGCGTCAAGGGTCATCATGATCCTAGCGTGAGCTTTCTGCTCAATTTGATCAAGTCTTTGAGCGGTTTTGCCAGAGTCATCCACAAGGCTCAAAGCAGAGCAAGCTCTCCCATCTCCCAGTGGCAGAGACCATCAGAGACTGTTGAGGGATACGCTGCACGGGCCTAAGTGTTGCGGGTGCATGCGCTCGAGATCCAAAGACGGAGAGTTCAAGAAGTTGAAGAAGTTGAAGGGAAGCTGGCAGGCATTCTGTGAGGTCATTTCAGAGCGAATTTGTCCAAGCGTGGTCGCTCACAATGCTGCAATCAGTGGGAGTGCGGGTAATTGGCGCCGGACGGTTTGCCTGCTTGCAGAGGTGGAGAGGACGACCAGAGCTGACATCATTTCCTACAACGCTTGTATCTGTTCATGTAAAGGTCCATCTGCCTGGCGGTTGCCGAGCAGTTTGCTGACCTCAATGCAAGCACGAGCCCTTGTGCTGGACGACTACTCATGCAACCTTCTGATACGAAGTTGCGGGGACTGGCAACGTGCATGGGCATCACTTGCGTGCTGCGGTCAGTGCACTATCGAAGTGGACAGCATTGGCTTCAACTCCCTGATTAGTGCATGTGCAAGAGACCAAACTTGGCCAAGGGCCATTCTTCTGCTGAAGATCGCGTCAGGATGCGGCTTGAATTCGCAAAACACCATACAGGAGACCATCTCCTACAACACGGCGATCAGCGCCTTCAGTGGCCGAGGGAAGAGTTGGACTTTGCCCCTTGCTCTTCTTGGCGAACTGCGGGCAACGTGCCTTAAAAGCAACATGATGAGCTTCGGTGCCGCGGTGTCAGCTCTTCGTGACAGTGACAGTAGCGGCAGTAGCGATAGTGGCGGCAGTAGCGACAGTGGTGGCAGTGGTGGCAGTGGTGGCAGTGACCGAGGGCAAAACTGGCAGAGAGCACTGTGCCTGGATGCATTGGCACGAGAACGTGAAGCCCACAGCACGGTCATTCAAAATTCCGTGATGTCGATGTGCAGCTGGCGCCGTGCCTGGTCTATGTTGCAATGCATTTCTTCAGGTTCCTCGCCGAGCGCAGTGAGTTTTGGCAGTGCCCTTGGGAGCGGACGGAAGGGAGGGCCCTGGCCACTGGCATTGTGGTTCTTGGTGTGGATGCTCGCGTGCAGGTCCACACCCAACAGGATAACACGCAATGCAGCTGTTGACATTTGCAGGGGCTTGCAGGGCTCCCAGGGCTCTTGGAAGCACTGCCTGGCTATCCTGGACTGGGAATTCTCGGAGGGCAACAACAGATACAGCGACAGCACTGACAGCACTGACAGCACTGACAGCACCCTGATCTACGCCAGCGACGCCTGTGTCAAAGCCCGGAGCTGGAGGAGCGCCCGAAAGATCCTCCAACGAAGGAGCGACGCAGGATCACGCTCGGACCACTCGGACCCCGTCGCCGGCTCTTTGGAGATCCTGGCGGTGGGCGCAGAAGGTGAGTGGAAGGCATCGCTTGGCATGTTCAGCAAAATGCGCCGAAGGCGGATTGAAGCCGGCTCCATGTTCCATGCGGTCCATTCCGTCATGGCAACATCTCAGGAGTGGCGGAGCGCGCAGCAGGTCCTTGCGTGCATGGCACTGTTGCCTATGCAGGTATCGCTTGCAACGTATGCCAACGCCATGCAGGTCTACAAACAATCCTCCAAGTGGGATCTTGCAGTGCATCTGGTGCGAGATGGCCAGGTTGAAGTGGATATGGCGCTGCAGAATGCTATGATTGATGCCTGCGGAAAGCTACATAAGTGGCGGACTACTGTCGGCATGCTCACTTCAATGGCATCGAGTTCGCGAGCTCGGCCTGACACTCTGAGCTGCAACGCTTGCCTCGATGCTTGTGAGAAAGGCAGGAAGTGGAAGGTTTCCCTGGAGATACTAAGATCGATGTGGTGTCAAGAGGGAGGCCCCTTTCCTGAGGCTGCAAGTGTTGAAGTTGTGTTGTCTGTTTGCGAGAGATGCTCCAGGTGGCAGCATTCTTTGCAAATACTCGCAGACTTAGCAGACTTAGAAGGTTTGAACGATTTGAGCGATTTGAGCGATTTGGGCGATTTGGGTGGGGACAGGCTGGGGCACAGGCTGCCCCGCGCTTGGACTTTCGGCGTTGGTGTGCAGGCCTACTCCAGAGCGGGTCAGGGAAGGAAGGTCCCGCGATTGCTGCAGCAGCTGTGCTACGTCGTCGAGTCGGGACTCAAGACGCTTCTTGCCTCTAGTTGAGGATCTGGGATAGTATCCAGTCAGGCGTGCGTTCCAGCCGAAAAGATGCGGTCGTGAGAAGCATGTTCCAAAGCAGGGCAGAGAGGCTTAGGCGAACGTCTCTGCATCAAGCGGCAGGTGTTGGCACTCCAGAGCACGCTCTCCAGCTTTGTTCGGAAGCAGGTGCCAGCTGGCAGAAGCTGAATGGCTGCGAGCGGTGTTGAATCACAAATCCCCCGCGCTGAGGTTTTGAGGCATCTCCCCTCCCTCTGCCATCAGTTCTAGTTCTCTCGCATTCGTTTGGAAAGGCCGACTGTTCTGTGACCTTGATGAGCGCAGAGGAGCCCGAGTCCAATTGACGCCAGCACAAAAGCCACAAGAGCCACAAGAGCTACAAGTGCAGGAACGTGTAAGATACAATGAGTGATTGTAAACGCTTGCGCACGCCGCCTCGGCAGCCGGGCCAGGCCCAAGAAGTTCGAAAAACCTTTCGCGGGTCGGGGTAGGGAGAGGAAGGTCTCGGGGGGGGGTGTCCCCAGGGAGTTTCAGAGGAGGTCCCAGTGGCAGTCCCAGGAGGATTGCCGGAATGGTCCCGGACGTTCATCGTGGTCTCTTGTTCTAGACGCCTCTCGGCTGCCGAGGCGAATACATTGAGATACTACAGGATGTTTTTGGGTCAAATATGGGTGATCAAAAAAGTGCAAGCACCGCACAACACTTTTCTTGGGAGCTGAGCAAGGTCAGCGCGCTGTTGTCAACTATGTCGCAAGCCCACCTCATGTCGCATGCGTGCCTTGCTCAGTGTGGCGAGAGGGGGACTGGCAGAGGCATTTCGTCTCCGCCCTCTCCAGTGACGAGATGCTTCAAGACTGAGATGGTCTGCCCGCGAGCATTTCCCTTGGTGACCAGGCCCGAAGAAGCGTTTCGTGCGGCGCGAGACAGCCTCCAAAGCCTCAGGGAGCTCGAAGGCGAGAGGGCAAACTCGGACTTCAAGATGTTCAACTGTGTATTGACTCCGTGTGCAGGTCCAAGGGCAGAGGATCGGCTTTCCTTCAGCTTCCAGTGCTACAGTGCTACTCACAATGGGCAACCTCTGATCTCGAGCTGGGGTTGCTGTATGCAGGATACTTTGGACAGGCCTTTCGAGCACATCATGCAAGAGGCTGGGACGGCCTGGGTCTGGCACCATGTCGAGCACTGCTTCAGCTTGCTTGAGACGCAGGTGCAGGCACTTTCTTGCTGTGGCAAGGCCCTTCTCCTTCAACAAATCGCTCTTTTCGCTCCTGTCTCCTGTCACTCCTTTCTCTGGCAGATCAAGCCCTGTGCAGGCAGAGGTAGCTTTACAACGATCTGTGCCGTTCTCAGTCCAGAGAGCAGCTGCTGAGCGAGAGATGCGCTAGAGATTGCGCTGGGGATTGCGCTAGGGCTAGGGATTGCATGAGGAATTTTAAATTTAAGGTTTTTCTACCGAAATTGGTGTGTGTCCATGTGTGTCCTCTTTCTTTTTTGCCACCTTCTCCTGCTTCCTGCACTTCCTGCTTGGTGACCTTTCTCAATTGTCTCAGGCCTCGGGCCAGAGCTTCTTGGAAGAAGCCTTGGCGTTAGTTCAAGGACTCTTCTCTCTCCGGGGAAATCTCTCCACATATTGGCTCTCGCTTTGCATATGGTGCCTCTCACAACACGGAGATTTTTCTTTGCACTCTGCAGGACTTCGGGGAAAATCAGTTGGCCCGCACCTCAGAAAGTGTGCTGCAGCGACGAGCAACACAGACAAAAGCAAGCTCCGCAAAATTGGGGTACAATGATGGACAAAAATGCTTGCACAAAATGTACCATAGTGTAGAAGAAAAGAGGTTCTCCGACTTTCACGATTGCCACCGCTTAGAGTAGCCAGAGGAGAGTGGACCATCAAAGAATCAATATTTGTGATCTTGATCCGGGTTTTCAGGTTCGGACGACAGGCTCCACAGGCTCTTCGTTGCCGAAAGCGAGATCACATTGGTGGTGGCCTCAATGCGGCCTCAGCTCGAGGACTCTGGAGACCAGCTTGCTGCAGAGCAACCGATCCCCAGAGCCCGCTCTCCAGGTCCTTATGGAGGCTGAGCTGAGCTGGACACCAAGAGCCTGCAAGAGTCTGCAAGAGTCTGCAAGAGCCTGGGCCTTCAACATGGAGATTACTGGCGAGGTGAGCCAGCCAAAGCCGTGGAGAGGGCCGTGCAGGCTCGCGAGAGGTGCACCAGGGATCACCAGGGTGCAAAATAAGCACCGTGCAAAACCGACCTGTCGGACCACTGCAATACGCAAGTCGTTTGACGAGGTTCAAACAGGACGGACACAAGGACCTCGAAGCTGCAGCTCTTCAACTCTTGGCCCCTTGGCGTAAGGCTTTGCAGCTTTGCAGCTTGCCATCAGCTGTTTTCCATCGCTCGAAGGCAAGGGCTCAGATCACCCAAAAAGAGCCCGAAGCTTGGCGCAGCTTGAAGGATGCGAAAGTGCTTCTGCCTCATTTATTGCATCTTGGCTGACTCCGGTGGCTTAGGCCAGCAGCGCGACAGGCTGCCAAAGAGGCTGGCTGGCATGCATGGAATACATTGGAACACTAGCAAATGCACGGGGGCTCTGCAAGGGTCAGGGTGGTTTAATCCACTAGAAGCACATGACTGTCACTCACCTATGTCCATGGCATTTTCAGTGCTGCTTCAGTCAGCTTGTCCTTTGTGAGTTGATTACTCGGCAACCCCCCCGAGCTTAGGGACGTGAAGTTTGTTCAGGGCTTCAACAGTAGCCGTAGAATTTAGCACCCACGATGCCCTGAAGGGTAGCTTTAGTACCTGTAGGAACTTGAGAGATTTTGGAGCTTAGGTCTCCAGCACAGTCTTGTTTGCTCATGGAATGACAGGCGCTTGAGCTCCGGCAGGCCTTCTGCGTATAGTTTGCAAGGGGCACATGTTTTTTGGAAGCGCAAAACCTCGTTTACAAAGGAGCTCCGCGATGCCAAAGGTGAGAAGGAAGCGCTCCAGCAATAGACTTAGTGCCTGAGTGCTGCATTATGTTCATGAAGACTTCTCGCAAAGTCAACATTCACAGCCCAGCACGAAGGGTGTCTTTGGTCACAGTGACGGAAGGAGGATTGGAGATGCTGCCTGCCTGCCCGTCTGCCTTTGCTTCCCGAGGCTCCTGGTCAGTGCGGAGCTTCTCGGAAACACAGGGAGTGCTGTGGCCTGAGTTGGGTGAGAATCCTTCACACGCATGGGAAGTCGCAGCTCGAGGATTTTGGAGCCTCTGGGTGCTTTGTAAGTCGTAAGCTGAAGGCAATGCAAACAGCAAAGCAAGCGGCTTTGGTCTCAGTGACGCAAGTTGACGTGCCGACGGTGCTCACACACGCTACAGCTCCTTTACAGGTCGAACGCTTCAAGCATGAAGGCGACAGCCGGAACGAGGCTTTGGCGCTGCAGACTGTGGCTGTGACCTCAGCGTCTGAAGTACCCGGGCTATGAGGTTTTGGGGAAAAGGCAATACCCGATTTTAGCACTTCGCTGTCGTCCGTGGCACGGAGTTCTGCAATTCACCTTTGTGGTGTCGAACTTCTGTCCGGAGTCACAACTCTAGAGTTGCAGATACCTCCAAAGTGTTTGATGTCTGATGTTGCTGGTACTAGATTGTGGCGGGAGGTGCCATCGACCGGCTCGACGATTCTGTTTGGCCGCAGTTGTTGCCTCACGTGGCGCTCTGGGTTCCTTCACCAAGAATCATCAGTGGACACCTGGACAGTGGACGCTGAACCTATTGCGTCGGTACGAGTGTGGCCGCGTGCCTCATCGATGCTGGAATGTCCATGGCCACACGGCGGTAATGTTTCCACTGCACTTGGACACAGGCACAAGTATCCAATGCTTGACCGCAGATCACCAATCCCTTGCACCATCGATGGCACCCAGCCATACCCCACCCCAGTCATTTCACCACGAGACCACGGAGACTGCACAGCCGCGACTTGTGTAGCGGTATCGAAATGTCGTTTCTCGGTGCAAAAAGCCGCTGTTCAACCTGCAGACCACTCAAGCCGTGAGCTTTCGTAAGTCGGTTGGCCTTCCGAGAGCTTGGCCTCCTCGGCCTCTTCGGACTTGCTGAGAACCGAGGGGCCATTGAGGGGCCATTGTCATTGTGGGCCTTTCACCATCTTTCACCATCTTTCACTATTTGCCTTTTGAGTTTGTCTCGCAATTTTTGCCCTTTCTCAGACATTTGCTCAGACGCTACAAACACGACCACTGCGACCACCATCGACGGGAACCGGTCCGTTCGTCTGTCCTCCTTTGAGAAAGTTCCGGTACATCGGAGACACGTCGATGCGCATGTTTAACGTCCGTACGGATTGCAGACGAACGGCCACTGCTTTGGGAAAGGCCGGGCGTGCAACGGTTTTGCTTCTTGTGTTCGAGCGTTCATCAATGTGTAGAACGCTGGCGTTCGGAGTGACGGTTCTAATGGTAGCACGTTTGTAGATATCTCCGAATTGGTTGCGTGTCCGATTTGACATTTCCGACGTTTGGCGTTGACTTTGAAGTCTTTTCTCTTTTCCTCCCACCTGGCTCCTCCTGTCTGCAAGACGGACGACCGGAAACCGGTCTGTCCTTCCTTGAAAAGCATACATCAGACGAGTTCTCTTGTTCTTATTTGTTCTTGCTATTCTTGGACATGAGTATCGCAAGCTGGAGCACACTCCTGGACAGCCACGCTAGTGTGTCCAGAAGGGCAGTGAGATACTTCGATGTTGCATCTTTGACCACATACGGTTCCAGACAAACGCCCGCATTGCTTTGCTCTGTGTGTTCAAGCGTTCATTGTCCATGTCGTCCTTGCGCAGGGGTCATGTCGTGAGTAAGGAGCATGTTCATTCTCTCAACACATGCATAAGTCACAAGTACAACCCACTCCAAGCATGTGGGCAGTTGGAGAAAAGGCCAAGACCCACATCGCCAACCAGGAGTTTCTGCGAGCCGCACGCGTTTCCAAGGATG